AAGAACTAAAGAGCCTCTTGATGAAAGTGAAAGAGGAGAGTGAAAAAGTTGGCTTAAAACTCAACATTCAGAAAACTAAGATCATGGCATCTGGTCCCATCACTTCATGGCAAATAGATGGGAAAACAATGGAAACAGTGACAGACTTTATATTTTTGGGGCTCTAAAATCACTGCAGCTGGTGACTACAGCCATGAAATTACAAGACGCTTGTTCCTTGGAAGAAAAGCTATGACCAACCTAGACAGCATATTAAAAAGCAAAGACATTACTTTGCCAACAGAGGTCCATCTAATCGAGGCTATGTTTTTTCCAGTGGTCATGTATGGATGTGAGAGTTGGACTATAAAGAAAGCTGAGTGCCGAAGAATTGATGCTTTTGAACTGCGGTGTTGGAGAAGACTCTTGAGAGTGCCTTGGACTGCCAGGAGATCCAACCAGTCCATCCTAGAGGAAATCAGTCCTGAATATTCATTAGAAGGACTGGTGCTGAAGCTGAAACTCCAATACTTTGGCCACCTGACGGGAAGAGCAGACTCATCTGAAAAGACCCTGATGCTGGGAAAGATTAAGGGCAGGAGGAGAAGGGGATGACAGAGGATGAGATGGTTGGATGGCATCACTGACTCAATCGACATGAGTTTAAGTAAACTCTGGGAGTTGGGGATGGACAGGGAGGCCTGGCGTGCTGCAGTCCACGGGGTCGCAAAGAGTCAGACACGACTGAGCAACTGAACTGAATGGAACACTTTTTAATAATAAGGTTCTTAGGAGTTGATTCCCACTGAAGTGAGTATAATAGTGTTTGCTACTTGGTACAAAACATTAAACAGTAAGTAAACAGTGTACATTTGAAATTCATTTTTTTTTACCTCTTTCTCTTTTTTCTTTTTGTCGTCTTCTTTCTTTTTCTTACTTTCTGGCATGAGATCATCAAGCCAACTAAGCTCTCTCTTTGTGAAACACAGGTCCATGAGTTTGCGAACAAAGACTAATGCAAGAACCTTTAAAAAAGTAAGGGAGAGAATATTCAGTAATATCTAAAAATTATTTATCAAAAAGTATTTATCAAATCATAAATAAAAAAGCACATCATATATTTTATTTTAAAATTACTTTACACATCATCTTATTTCAAAGAAGCTTAGTCACCTATTTATTTTTTTCAACTTTCTGCTCAAAGATATAAAGAAAATTGTATTTTTAGCCTTTCCCCATATAAGTCCCTTGAATTCTGTATAAAATTATAAAGCAGATAATGATTATCTTCACAAACAAGATTATTACTTTTTATGATGACTTTACATAATATTTAATATTATATATTATAAATATTATGTAAGATATGATATTTAAAATCTCTTCAACAAGGCATTAGAGAACCCACTTTCCAGCATTAGGTTTTACTCTACAAATTATGTTTGTGAAAAAGACACAATATTCTTTAATTTGCTTTTCTTTGGTGCTAAGAGCTTCCCCAGTGGCTCAGCTGGCAAAGAACCTGCCTGCCAATACAGGAGCTACAGGAGATGCAGGTTCGATCCCTGGGTTGGGAAGATCCTCTGAAGGAAATGACAATTCACTCCAGTATTCTTGCATGGAAAATCCCATGGCAGAGGAGCCTGGTGGGCTAAAGGTTGAAGATGTTTTCAAATGTTCACTGGAAATGATTTCTTCTCTTTTTTTTTACTTTTTAACACTTTTTAGTTTGTATTTGAGTAGAGTTGATACAATGTTGTATTATTTTCTGGTGTACAGCAAAGTGTAAGTTATACACATACGTGCATCTATTCTTTTTCGGATTCTTCTCGCATATAGAATACTGAGTTATTCCCCGTACTATACAAGTAGGACCTTGCTGTTTCTTTATTTTATATATAGTAGTGTATATATGTTGATCCCAAACTCCTAATTTATCCCTCCCCACCACCTGTCCCCTTTGGGAATGGTAAATTTGTTTTCTATGCTTGTGAGTCTGTTTCTGGTTTGTAAATAAGTTTCTTTGTATCTTTTTTTCTTTTTTTAAAGATTCCACAAATAAGTGATATCTAATGATATTTGACTCTGTCTGACTTATTTCGCTTAGTATGATAATGTCTAGGTCCATCCATGTGGCTGCAAATGGCACTATTTTGCTCTTTTGTGGCTGAATAATATTCCACTGTATATACGCACCACATCTTCTTTTCCATGTCTCTGTCAATGGCCATTTAGGCTGTTTCCAAGTCTTGGCTACTGTGAATAGTGCTGTTATGAACACAGGGGTGCATGTATCTTTTTGGATTATAGTTTTTGTCTGGATATATGCCCAGGGACTGCTGGATCATACAGTAGCTGTGGTTTTTTAAGGAATCTCCACAGTGTTCTCCATAGTGGCTGCACTGCTTTACATTCCCATCAACACTGTAGGAAGGTGCCCTTCTCGCCACATCCTCTCTAGCACTTTTTAAAAATGTGTTTATTTTTGGCTGTGCGGGGTCTCCATTGCTGTGCATGGGTTTTGTCTAGTTGTGGTGCCTGTTGAGGAGTCTGAGCTCTAGGGTGGGAGGGCTTCAGAAGTTGTGGCGCACAAGTTTCAGTTGCTCTGCAATATGTGGCATCTTCCCAGACCAGGGATTGAACCCACATGCCCTGCACTGGCAGGTGAAATTTTTTTTAAACTACTGGACTACAAGAAGTCCTCCAGCATTTATTGTTTGTAGACTTCTTGATGAAGGCCATTCTAACCAGTGTGAGGAGATACCTCACTGTAGTTTTGATTTGCATTTCTCTAATAATTAGCTTCCCAGGTGGCGCAGTGGTAAGGAATCCATCTGCCAATGCAAGAGACACCATGTTCAATCCCTGGGTTGGAATAATCTCCTGGAACAGGAAATGGCAACCCACTCCAGCATTATTGCTGGAAAAATTCAATGGACAGAGGACCCTGCAGGCTACAGTCCACGGGGTCACAAAGAGTTGGACACAACTGAGCACCAGCGCAATAATGAGCGATGTTAAGCATCTTTTCATGTGCTTTTTGGCCATCTGTGACATGTGTTCTTTTCTTTTTTTTTTTTTAATTTTTTTTTTTCCATTTTTATTAGTTGGAGGCTAATTACTTTACATCATTGCAGTGGTTTTTGTCATACATTGAAATGAATTAGCCATGGATTTACATGTATTCCCCACCCCGGTCCCCCCTCCAACCTCCTTTAGAGAAATGTTTTCTTTAGAGAAATGTTTATTTAGATCTGGGTTGTTTGCTTCTTTGATACTGAGCTGCATGAACTGTCTGTGTACTCTGGAGGTTAACCCCTTGACAGTCACATCATTTGCTAATATTTTCTCCCATTCTGTGGGCTGTCCTTTTGTTCTGTTTATGGTTTCCTTCACTGTTAAAAGTTTGTAAGTTTGATTAGGTCTCCTTTGTTTATTTGTTTTTATTTTCATTACTCGAGGAAGTGGATCTAAACAGACATTGCTGCAATTTATGTCCAAGAGCATTCTGCCTGGTTTTCCATCTTCTGCTCTTACTGTTTCTTACCTTTTGACTTTTTTTCCAGTTGGTTTTCAACTGACTTCTGTTCATGAATTCCTAAAAGTTCTGTGTAGTTTGGATAGAAACTCACTGTCTTATATGTAACAAATGTTTTCCCCCAGTTCACAATCTGATTTTACTAAGGACATGCAAAACGATTGTCATGTAGTCAAAAATAACATCTTTCTTTCACTGTTAAGATTTCCCTACCTTCTTTGAAAAATTATCTTCAACCACTCAATTATATTCTAAATTTTTACTGTAACTTGCTTTAACATTTAAATTGTGAATTGATATACTATTTCTTTCAGAATATGATATTACATAGCAACTTTATTTGGGCTTCCCTTGTGGCTCAGCTGATAAAGAATCTGCCTGCAATGCAGGGGACCTGGGTTTAATCCCTGGGTTGGGAAAATCCCCTGGAGAAGGAAAAGGCTACCCACTCTAGTATTCTGGCCTGGAGAATTCCAAGGACTGTATAGTCCATGGGGTTGAAGAGTTGGACATGACTGAGCAAACTTCATTCACTCACTCAGCATCTTTATTTAGCTCCTAGTAAAATAGTCCAACTTTTTAGTCTAATCTTTTATTATTTTTCCATTTAAGTGAATTTACTGCCTTTAATGAAATAATCCACGTATGTTATTCAGGTGGTAAATTCTCATATATTCTGATAAATTTCTGAAGTCATTAGTCCTGTTTTCAGATCTATTTGTCAATTCTTATGAGATTTCCTACTGTGTTAGCCATGCTGACTTGATGACAACTTGTAAATATTCAGTTATCAAAACACTATGGGCATTAGCACAGAGTCAAGGCTTTCAACCCCCGACCCAACCAGGAATTCTGAACTATAATGACCTTTGTTTTGTTATTCTCTGATATTTATTACAACTATATTTTCCTTTAATATATAATTTACATATATAAAAATATCATATATAGAGTTTGATGCTTCTGAAAAATACATATACTCTTGTAACCCACATTACAGTAGGACACAGAATATTTCCACCATCCATGTTGTAGCTCTGGCATCTATTTTTCTCTATGAACTTTAAAATTACCCAGTTCTCACTGATACCACCCTTCTGCCCCAAACACACAAATATACATGCAAATAAAATTAGTAAACTTCATACTTGGAAGTGATATTTTAATAATACTAATAAGTACCCAAAACAAAGAATACGGTATATGTTTCTATCTGTTCAGGTCTTAATTTTATGTCCTGCAATATTGTTAAGGGTTGACTTGTGTCCCTCTGGAAAACATTTAAGTACCAGCCCCTAGCACCTCATAATGAGATTTTATTTAGAAACAGGGTGGCTGCAGGTGTAATTAATTAAGAAGAGGTCACACTGGAGAGAAAGGGGTCCTTGTGCAGCACGCTAGCGCTGTGCTCAAATGGTGATACGCCGACACAGTGACCACACGGCACAAGCCACGAAAGCGGCAGACCAGAGCTAGGCAACTGCAGGCCAAGGGGCACCACAGGCTGCCCGCAGAGGCCGGCGAGGGGCAGAGGAGCAGGGCCTGGCCGGCGTCGGGGCAGCAGGGCCCGGGCCAGACCTCGGTTTCTGCCTTCCGGCCTCCAGACTGTGATACAAATCTGCTGCTTGAAGCCCATGAGTCTGTGATACTTTAAGCTCTAAGAAACTAATACAAATATTACTGTACTCTTTTTCTCTTTTAATAAGTATCTCCTTTCCAATTTATTAACTATTTTATAGTTTTTGGTCAACATCATGAGTACCATTTTTTTCATTTCAATTTTTAGCATTATTACTAAGACAGAGTCTGTATACTGGTTATCATGTTTTCTTGTATCCAGCTACCTTAACAAAATTCTTATAATTCTTATAGAATTATATTAAGAGATTTTAGTCTTTTTTGAGTCAATTGGGTTAATACGTATACAAATAATACTATTGTGTCATTGTACCAATTATTATATTACTCTTATCTTATATCACAGTCAGAACTTTCAGTTTACACCCTTAACACTAGTAAACAGTGGGCTTCTCCCTCTATGTCAGGGGTAGGCAAACCACAAGCCCTTGGGATAAATCCATTCCACCGCCTGTTTTGTATGGCTTATGAGCTAAGAATAGCTTTTACAGATGAGCATTTAGATCTGATCTGATGAGAGGAGTAGTAACTTTTAACTAACTCCAATTAAGTGATATATTGTCCCAAATGAAAAATTCCCTTCTTCTCATTGGCAGTCTTTCATTTAAAAAAAGCTGACAACTACATTTTGAATTTTATTAGTAAGAACTGTGGAAATTTCTCTCTTGTTATGTAAGTGTCTATATAATAGTCTAGTGGCCTTCAAAGCTGACCCTTTACATGAAAGTTTATTGACTTCTACTCTAGATGTTCATATATTGGTATAGACTCGTGTACTATTGTCTTAAAACCCCTCAAACCACAGCTGTGGTTATGTACTTTTTCTTTTAATCTTGTATATTTTACTTATTATAAAGGAGTTATCCATTATTGATCTTTACAAATAAAAACTTAGTTGCATTTAAGTCTTCTTGAAAAATAAGGGCAATGAAGGCTGTACATTTTCCTACATGTATAACTTTAGCTCTATCTCATAGATAAAAGTTATTTATTTCAATATCTCCTCAATGGGTTTTTTTTTTAAAACTCAGTTTTCAACCCCGGGCTTAGTTCAGAATTTAGTCTCTAAATACTGAATATTTTTTAGTGGCTTTTTAATATTCATTTGTAATTTATTTGCAATCAAGGAATATTACCTGTATAATTTTCAAAGATTTTCTCTGTGGCCAAGTATATAAATCAACTTTTACATAATATTTGCAAAAGGATGAGTAGTCTCTATTTGCAAAGTGCAATTTTGTAACGTGATAATTTAATGAATTATATTGATTCTTATTAACATCATCTATAATCTGTATCACTTTTTAACTTCTGGATCTATCAATTTCTAAAAAAGATGTATTGAAATAGCCTATTAAAGACACATGTGTTCTGGTTGCTCTGCTTTTAGGTCAGGCTAATATTTGTTTCATAAACGTCCTAAACTCTGAAGTTGTTTAAAAATACAACACATTGTTCTATACCCTAGGACTAAAAATAAAAACAAAATTAGAAAACGACAAGCAAAATTCAATTTTGAAAACGATGGGTTTCTTAGCCAGAAAGGGCTAACTCACATTTCAAAACATATGAGGTTCTTGAAATCCTTTTCTCAAAGTTGATTATAAATGTTAATAAGACAACTGCTATCAACACACAAAGACGTTATATTAATAATTAGTAATGAAGTCTGAAGAAAAGACTCACCATCATGGGGAAAACGACTGCAGCGGCGGAGGCTTTTATCACCCACAGGAGGACCAGGCAGGTGAGCTGGACGACGGTGAAGACGTGCACTTTCCAGAGCGGCACGTAACGCAGGTAGATCAGGTCGGGCTGGTGCTTGGCCGGCATGCCAAACAGCTTAATACGGTCAAAGAACTGGGTGTCAAGTGGAAAGCAGAACAGGAGAACGTTTTTTACAAAAATGGCATTTCTGCTACTTAGGAAAAGAAACTCTATCTACTTCAGGGTAACTTCCCTGGTGCTAATATGTCCCAATAACACAGGAGTGTTTCAGTTGACAGCATCTTCATCCAGGAGAAAAAAATCAAGGCAACCATTTGAACGAATGTGATTCATGAATCAGAAACTCAAGTCAACATGCTTTAAATTGCGGAATTAAACTAGTTCCACAAATTTATCTATGGAAAAACACACAACTCATCTAATCTCTTTGACTTCTTTTTCTAATATGTAAAATAAGAGAGTAACAATCTCCTAAAGTTCTTTCTAGATCTAACATGGCCAATTTTTATGAAAATAACCTGAGGTGACAATCACCAAGTTTTCACCAAATGAAACAGAAACCATGAGCCGTTTCCTGGGTCTCTTTGAGCTTTAATTTCCTCACTTATAAACTGGGAATAAGAGCAGCCCTACACACCTCACAGAACTGTTGCAAAACAATTAAGTGAGTTAATGAGATCGGCTCTTGAGCACAGGAAGGCAGACCCTGGACTGTATGAGCGAGTACGGCTGCTGCGTCTGAGACGCCCGGTGCCCCGGAGCTGGCAGCTGGGACCACACGCCGTCTGCAGCCGGGAGCGCCGCCAGCGCCGCCTGAGCAGCTCCACGTCCTACACGAGGGCCGGACCCACACAGACCCAACGCGCTCTACCCTCCTGCCCACGAAACGCCGCAGTGACACAACACGGGGCGGTGAAAGGACTGGCGTCCAACCTGCGCCCCGCTGCTCAGTTAGAAATCTTCAGTGAGGCTATTTCTGCTCTACAATTTACAAAATCAGCACTTCTTCCTTTCCTGCTTCCCAAGGTTGTTTTGAGGATAACAGAAAATCGCCTAGTACTACGCTCTATGAACTAACTGTACTGCCCCACACAAACGGCAGGTGTTGCCATGGTTATAGAAAACTAACATCTGCATTTCCTTTTCAGCAACTGAAACTGCTCTTTCAAGATGCCAGGGATAGCCCTTTTTCCCCCATTCCAATCCTTTTAATCCCCTCTCTTACTATATTAGCCTTCATTGATAGTTACTTTTCATTAGCTTCAATTAAAATATGTAAGGACACAGGTCATGATGTCACTTTCAGGGGAAAGAATGTACAACAATAATTATTTAGAAAATGTGGATTTGAAGTTAATCTGTGCCCAAAATATCAGAGCTGAGAATACATCATGAAAACAATCTTTGCAAATGTAAAATGTTTTAAGTTTTTCTACAAAATCATTAAATGCTTATGACTTGCCTGGATTCCTTTTAATGAGGAAACTCCCATATAAAGGAAAACGCCATATAGAACAGGCATTGGAATGAACTGGAAGTAAAATGATCACAATTAGAACTCATGCAACTAAAGCAATTTCACATCAAAGATACATAAAAACACTGTGAGTTCCTATGAGATAGATTTAAAAGATCTTTCAGTGATGACACGGCATTCCCGACGGCTCACTGGTAAAGAATCTGCCTGCACTGCAAGAGACACAGGAGATGGGTGTTCAATCCCTGGGTCAGGAAGCTCCCCTGGAGGATGAAATGGCAACCCACTCCAGTCTTCTTGCCTAGAGAATCCCACAGACAGAGGAGCCTGGAGGACGACAGTCCACGGGCTCACAAAGAGTCGCACATGTCTGAGCTTCACACTCAGTGATGACACTTGTGACAGTGGTGATCACACGCACTTCAGTGATGACACTGAACTTTTCTATAAACAGGAAAAGCGCTAGTATACAATGACCCTCTTGAAGAGTCGTCCTCTACATGCTCTCTTCTAAGAAGGGACTATGTTCCATGGTTAAGAGTACAGGCACCACAATCAGACTATTGGGCTTAAAAGCCCTTTTAACCTCTTACTGAGACATAACCTCTCTTTGTTTCAGCTTCTGCATCAGATTGTTTTGAAGGTTAAAAAACTTCAAACTCATAGAATACTCAGAAAAGCCCAAGGTACATGTTAAACCACTCAGAAAGTGTTAGCCGTGATTATCACTGTACTACCCTACAGTGACTGATGAGCAGCACCATTTACTGAATGTGTATAATAAACAAACACCACTCCCCAAACGAATGTTCTCATTACTTCAGCAGGAAGTGGGATCCCAAACTGCCTAGGAGCCCATGCCCAGGTCTTCCCCAGGAAGGACGCAACCCTGATGCAAACACCCACTGACACTCACCCAGGGAGACCTCTGAGGAAAGGAGACCTAACCGCCGGCCAGCGGAGAATCACACTCACTCCCTACTAAACAACCTTGTAGGTGCTTAACTAAGGACAGTGGAAGAGAAGAAAACACATCAAAAGTTTCATCAGTACCCTCAGGGAGTCCCAAGAAAATATCTAATCCATAAAGCAACTGTAGAATGCTAGGAAAAAATGAATAACCAGAATGAAAAAAATTAAAGATATAATTATCAAAATAATTTAAAAGAATTTTAGAATACTGATTTTGACAAAACTAAAGAGATTATTAAAATGATAAGGAAAATAGGGGAAACTTTAACAGTGAGAGTAGAGAAGAGGAATGTAACAATGTATCCAGGAGGTCTAACATCTGTCTACTTGAAAGTGAAGAAACATCTAAGAGAAAACAGAAGAGGAAATAAACAGCTGAAGAATATTCCCATAGTCAAGGCTCAAGTTCCCAGAGTAAAAGGATGCACAGAGAGGCAAGCATGGTAAATTAAAAAGCACCTATCTATCTACCTAAGTACGATGGAGAAACCGCAAAACACCATGAGCAAAAAGGACATTTTGGTAGCTTCGAGAATGGTAAAAAAAAAAAAATGCTTGTGAAGATACAAACACCAAATAGATATCACATCTGTTATCAGAACCACTGATCTTTAAGCAACAACAACTTTAAGACTCAAAGAAAAATACATTTGAACCTTGAAATGAATACCCATCTATTAAACAAATGTGAGAGTAATTTGCACCATGCAAGAGCTCTGAAAGTTCACTAATTATGGTACCATGCATGCAAAAACTGCTCAAGGAATCCTTTTAGCAATATAAAATAGTTCATTTAGCAATACAAGAAAAAGTGGAACATGTACATGTACTTTTTTAAAAGAAGTTAACAGATATTAAGAAAATTTATCAGGCTATTATTCTAAAACAGTAGTTGTTTGGGAAATGAGGTGTGTTTCTGCCTCCACACAGGCTGATCTCATGCTTAGTCCTCGGCGAGTATTTTTATATCATCATAATACTGATTACACGTCCCCAGAGGGGACGTGTATAGAATGTATAGAAATTACATTTCTATAATTTAACTTACCAAAGAAGCAAAGAGAGTGTAAGTGTGGGTAACCTTTACAATAGTAAAATGGAGCCAACCAAAGAACCAGTGATGAAGGGGAGAAGGGGATGTGGGGTAAGTCCTCGTGAAAGATACAACCTCAGCACAGAGGCTCTCAAGCGTTTCGGTCTAAGGGCCCCTTTTCACTCCTAACAAGAACGGAGGACCCTCCTCCCAAATAGTTTTGCTTATGTGGATTCTATACTCAGAGAGATATACAAATGGATAAGCAGGTAGGCGTATCGGAAATAGATACTCACCACATTAGAAATTGAAAGAAAAATTTTAAATAGCTATTCTTAATTCATTTCAAAATAATAAACGCCTTACAAGGTAATATAAACAGTATACTTTTACTGGAAAGCTGTAATTTCCAAAGAACATAAGATTAAGTGAGAAGAGCAGCAGTACTGTGCGTCCCCGTAAATCTCTTCAGGGGGCGGCTAACAGAGGACCCCACTCTCCCGCCTCCATCTAGCTCGGCGGACCGCTTACGCGGTTCTGCCCAAAGGCCGTGAGCACAACCCCGCCTCGCACAGGCGCACACCTGGGCGAGCGGGGCTCCTGCAGGCCCCACACAGAGGTCCTTGGGCGAGCCTTCAAGGGTCACTGTCTTAGGCAGCAAGAACCACTACTTTCACTATTTCACTAAAGATAATAAACTCAGAAATAACATTATAAAAGGAGAAATGTAATGGCACTGACTAACAAAATATCTTAAAAAATAAAGGAGTAAAAAGTTTACTTCTAGAAAGTTGTTTTTGGAAAGTGAGAGAAAACAAAGCTTTTCCTTTGAGAGCTTCCTTGATATTCTACTTGAATTTTTCTGCCTATAATATGCAGTTAATACTTTAAAATGTTTGCAACTACTGAAAACCCATGTAAAGGGCAACCCTGGCCAGTAGGGGGCAGCGTCCACACAAGACGGCACCGCGTGTTTCCCCAGCCTCCTGCTCTTACAGGACACTCGCCACCAGGAAGCAACTGCCCATCTGTCTATCTGTTCCACCAACCAGACTGCCAGATTCTTCCGAGCAGACACTGTCCTGTTTGTTGTCGTTTCCTCAGTAACCAATAGTACAGAAAGTACTCAACAAATATTTGGCCAATTAGTTGGCTGCACAAAAGGAGGCCAAAGAATTCTAGTACTAACAACAATTTTTTTAGTTACCACGTGACACACATGCATACAATGCTCCACATTTGTATTTTATAGTTTACAAACAAAAAACAACGGAAGTGAGCTCTTTCACGATTAACAGAAAATACCAGATTAGATACTCAGCTAGGTTTGCTATGACTGTTTCTTGTTAGATTACCAGATTCAGTGGAATATGTACAGTAAACCTCAGATGTGACTAAAAGATATGAGTGCTACTACTTATATCTCATTTAGTTCATCAGGAAGAATGTATTAATTCAATTAATAGCAGTATTATTTTTTACATTTCAGTTAAATTACTGTTTCATCTACCTTTCAATATTACTTCCTCTAATATACTTATAAAATTCTCTAGGTATATTCTTCTCTTAGATCATAACTAAGCCACAGATGAACTTCTTCCAAAACTCTGCAGTCTTTAATAGTACCCTTTCACATAGCAACGACCATTCCAAAATATTTATTTTCCAAGTAAACTCTAGGAAATGAAACTATTTTAGATATTTTAATGTTTCATTTTCATACCACCAAGTATAAATTTTATGACCAAAAAAAAGATTTTTAAAACATCGTAACAAAGAGATTTTACCTTTAGTACTGAAGTCATGAACACAGACAGGCCCATTAGAATAAAAATCATTAGCCCTGTCACCCGCTGTTCACGAATGCCCAAAAACTTGGGTTGCTCCCCAGGAGCAGAGCATTCAGATTCCACTTTTAGGCTGTTGACATGACTTATTGACAACACCGTTGCAGCCACAAACCATGGAAGTCCCATGACAGAGCACACTCCCAGCATGACACCAACCACGAGCAGGTCAAGGTGGTAGCCAGCTCCTTTCTGAAAAGGGAAGCCAACATGGATATCTGTGAGCATATACTGTTCTCTCAGGTTCAAATTCTGCGCTACTCCTAAAGAGAGAAGAAATGAATGTTCACCACCTCCAACTCAAAGAAAACTCTCGGGACACACTCTGAAAATTACCTTCAACTTGTGCTCCTTTCTGTTGATGATCACCGCTGTGATCTGCTGATCCATGAAGATGAGAATGGTGCATAGCAGAGCTGGAATGGCCGCGATTAACAAGGTCCACCAAGGGTTCTCTCCCAGCGGGCTTATGATCCAGCCCCTATTTTTATCAGTAGGCTGTTAAAACATTGAAAAATTCAAAGGAAGAAAGAAAAGTTTCCTTCTAACAGCACAGACTGTGTCTACCCCCAAGAAATGCCAAGGGGTTGGAAAGAACTGGACTGAACCCTGGAATCTGTTGTGAATTATCTGCAGAGACGCTCATGGGGATTCTCTTGTCCCCGAGGCAGGTCCCTGTGCACGTGACTGAGCCACTCTCTCCATCCGGAGGTAGCATCTACGTCCTCCCCTTGGACCTGGGAACAAGGCCATGGCGACCCTGTGATTCTTGCGTCTTGACCTGGAAGGACCTTGCTGCTGCTCTTACTAGCCTCCTGGAGCCCCGGGGTTAAGCTCTGAGTAAGCCTCGATAAGCTTTCTTGAGGATGAGACACAGTATGATGAGACAGGGGTAGGAGACAACTACCAGTCCCTTCACTCAGCCTCTGCAATGAGCTCCAAGACATGCCCCCACCAAGGTAGTAAAGACGGCAGGCACCCAAAAATCCCACACCAGGGGACCAGACCACCTCCACCTCAGCCTAGGGCCAACATCACAGATTTATGAACAAAAAAGAACTGTTGTTTCAGGATATGATGTTTTAGGAGATTTGTTATGCAGTGATAGGGAAGCGAAGCAGAGTTTCATTTCAACACATGCCTACCCACTCCATATAAAGTGAAGTCAGACTACCTACTAGGTCAACTCTGAAAACTATTAATAAACTGCCTTGTAGACCCTATAGACTAGCCATCGTGACAGCGTCAATACTCAGGCCGCACTGGGGCTTGGCCCACTATTCTTCCAAAGCAGGGACTGACACAAACCTGACACTTCATCAGATACTAATATATTTCAATGCTGTAACATAAATCTGCTTTAAATGAAGCATTTTTAAAGCTCCTAAGAATCTAGCATTCTTGGAGGGTATTGGATATATTGAAATTTAAGCATGTTCCTATTACTTAGCCTTTATATTAAGCCTATTTTTTTCTACAAGAAAACATTTTTGTCAATATAAAAGGGAAATTAACTGTTTTCAAATTTAAATGTTATCATTTCCCCACACAGATACACATGATAATGCCTCACATTCAGTACTGCATGTGGATAAAAATGTTTTATTTATATAATGCATATATTCTTAACTGTTTATTTCCCCAAGTGTATTTAATAACCCTTGAAATCAGTTTGCTACTTTAAAGCTAGATAAATGAGTGACAAAGATATATTTGGAACCAGAATAAGGAAATGGGACCAGGATTACAGGAAATTACATTAATATAATTTACAGTTTTGTCAATTTGTAAGACTCGGTAAATATAGAATGACTTAGATATAGTCATCTCTAATGGCTTAAAAGCTTCAGTGGCTCAATATCTATGCTTTTAAACAAAGGTCTCCAAACTTTTTAAGTTATATACTCTTAGCAGGAAAAAGACATTTATTTACCCAAATGATTCTATTTATTTATGCATTATATTACTAACAATTATCTTTATAGTGAAATTCATATCATAAATATTATAAAGCTTAATGTTTCTTATTTTTAGATAAAATATGAGTAGATCCATATAATTTGAGGATCATTTTCCACGTACTCTATTTTGGAGGACACAGGTTTTAAAAAGGATTCTATTTTTTAATCCCTGTCAGAGAGAAAACAGACTAAATTTATTTTCATTATATTCCTTATTTCTAATCCCCTTTAAATTTTCTGCTTCTCAAAGTCATATAATTTGTTAAATGTAAACACAGGCAGTGACACAAATACTTGATTATTAAAAATTTCCAGAAACTATTCAAAAGCTACCATCTCCAACTTAGAAGGGAAAATAATTATCAGATGTTGCATTATGCAGGCCATAGGGTTGGCAAAGGGGCAGATATGAGTGAGTGACCGAACAACAACAATACAAAAGACCTGTAGTTTTAATGAAACCAAAAAGTTTGTGGTTCCTCAGACTAAGCATCACTTTTCTTGTGGGAAAAAAAAAATTCTTTCTTGATTCTGCTGAAAAATGTTACAAGACACTTTCCAATTACTGTCAGATATATCAATCACTCTTCTAGAAATTTTAATTAGGATCACCTTGCTACTGTTTTAAATTCAAGTTTGAGTTACTTCTTCACAAAGGAATAACGAATGTTTCTTTCACCTGGAGAGTGTATCATGAACTCCAGCTATGACAGCAGGGTCAAAAATTTTAAATGACTATGAATATTTCCACTTACTCTCTGTGAAGGACTAGATTTGATACCTTCTTGCTTATTTCCTAAATATGTTCACTTGTCTCTGTTCATCTTGTCATTGTTTATAATCTGTGAGAGGTATACATAATCTTTCTTTTCAAAGCATCAGCTCTTCACAAAGAATGTGCATATTTTAAAAATTACTAACTAGGAGGCAGTATCTTACTTTAAAGTAGTTTGGTATTTCCCAGTAACAAATAGCCAAGTGTTTTAATCCTTACCTCAAATTTTTCAGGAACATGAAGTTTAGGAGATGGAACTCCTACAAGGTAGTCAATTACAACCATTATTACTATGGTGAGAAATACAGCAAAGTCACTGATTGTCGAGCGCACCTATGTTAAAGGGGTTACGTTAGTATAGACACAGAATACTGTCCTTTCTAAATAATTCATATCTTTTACAGATTAAATGTGCCACTAGAAAGTGTGAATGAGTTTTTTAATTAGTGACGATGCATCAGTGAAACACATTTATAACTAATATTTTTTACAAAAGATAAGAAACACATTTCACAACTAACCTATCATGTCCCTTGATGCCATTGTCTTTCTACTGTTAGCTCAGATAGGGAATATACACCTTTAAAACTTTATTCGAATATAATTGCTTTACAATGTTGTTAGTTTCTGCTGTACAATGAAGTGATGTAACTGCATGTATAACATATGCCCCGCCTCTTGCACCTCCCGCCCACCCAGCGCCTCCAGGCCATCACAGAGCACTGCGCCGGGCTCCTGGGGTACACTGGGGCCTCTCACTAGCTCTCTGCTTTATGTATGGCAGTGGGTATGTCAATGCTGCTCTCAGTTCATCCCGCCTTCCTCTTCCGCCCTCCGTCCACATGTCTGTTCTCTACACTTTTCACTAGGAATAATTTCCTTATAGCTGCTTGACATAAAATTACTAATCTCAAACAATATCTTACTGTTTAAAAACATGAGAATTACAAGAACTCCAAAATTAAACCCCAATTACCTTGGTAGGAAAATAGCGCTTGGTCTTAAATTGCTTGAGGAATGAAGACAGAAAAAATGTTGTGAAAAATAAGATGACAGACCAAAAGAGCACATCTGGAATATAAGGTCCATGGAGACTACAAGCTGATCCTACAAATGCACCATGGTAGATTTTACATTCCTGAAAAAAGGGGTGAAAAATAGAAAAGGAAGGGGTAAAGGGGATTCTCAGATATCCAAGAAATTAACGAGGAACTTCTCTGACTCTAAGATGCTACTTATCAAAAGACACGCCGTTATTCTGTTTCACTTAGAAAAACACAACATCAAGTCAACGTTAAAACACAATCAGTTTTAAAACACATCTTGAGTTCAGAGAGGTAATGGTTTGACAAATCTGTGCATCTTAGAAATCACTGAAAGGAAATAATGTATCTTGTCAAGTTACTACATCATACACTCCCTTCTTTAAACTCTTTATTTCCTTTAGTGAAAGGTTTATATATTGAGTATTAATTCCCAAATACTTTGTTTGCATCTTTGGTCAACAATTTTACTATCTTTCCATTCCTTTTGAACAAGTTGCTTAAAATAAAATCAAAAGTCAGAAAATTACTACTCTGCCTTTACAATGCTGAATAAAGAGATGGCTATAGTACTAAATTCAACTCAATAGTAAAAACTGTGTTTGGCTTTTTTGACTTTTTTTCTGACTTTTCTAAAGGTGAGATTAAAACAGTAAAGTGAACCACTGAAATATTTCCATTAATAAAATCAATAATGTAATCAATAATATAGCACAATTATAGAAATATATTGACTTGATTTTCCTTTTGAGGGAAAAGAATAACTGAAAGACAACCAGAAATTAACAAAAACAACTGAAGTCCTTTTCTCCTTACTTATATTCTAATGAGATTCATTTTCAAAGCATAAATCAGGTTTATTGAAAGAAAAATAGCCAAAGGAGAATCCATTAATGGATTCTCAACAGCCAAATTGAGAATCCATTATTCTCAATTTCTATGTGCTAACATTAGTAATCCTACAGTTTACAACATGGATCATAGAAATAAAAGCTACAGCTATACAAAGAAACTTAACATGGCCCTATTAGGGATCAAAAAAACACACTGGATAGACCATACATATAAGTAATCTGAAATATTAGGACATCCTATTCAACATGAAGAGTTTTTCATTTTTTTTTTTAACAAATCACTTTCATTTGAACACCTCTATTAACTCTACTTCTTTCAGAACGGCAGTTACTTTTTCAATATATAGCAGCACAGTATTATTCTAGGCTGATGACTTACTGACACAGTGCTTTGTCTCCACACTGTCCCAGAACCATCCGTGTTGATAAGGTGTCATAAATCTATACTGCCCATACAGTTGGCCAGCAGTCAGTCACATGACATGAGCACGTCTAGTGCAGCCAAGAAACTCAACTTTTACAGTTAAATACAGACACATGTGGCCCGTGACTACTGCACTGCACAGCGCAGATATGAATGATCAGTGGGATAACACTGCAGATGAAATCCCTCCAACTCTATATTCAGGAGCTAACTATCACCCTAAGAGAGAAAGGGATGACCTACAAATGCTTACATGATATAAAAAGCACCAGGGCAGCTCAGGGGATGGTGGATTTTCACTGATACTGCCAGCGTCACTGGACACCTTTATTTCTAAATCCCAACCTGGGAAGTGACCAAAACAGCTACTCTAGAGCTAGGACAATATTTCCCAACAAAACACAAAAATATGTGTGTAACAGTCTTCAGTACCCAGCAGGTGGTCATTATACATTTCTACCCTTTTTTCCCTTTTCTTTCTCTCAGTGCTCAAGTCAGACTAGTCTCCACCAGGTAAACAGGTTCAGTCTGAGCACCCCTGATCAGAACAGGCGGGTCCCAGAGAGGCTGAACAACAGAAGGCAAGACGGGTGGGTACGAGCTGCTGAACCCTTAACTTTGGGACCTGCAACCAGCAACCACAGGCTGATGAGTGTATGGATCCAAGAGGATCTGGAAACCCGAAAGTATATTCACACCTTTCTAATAAATAATATCTTGGAGGGCTTCCCGGGTGCTTCGGATGTTAACGAATCTGCCTGCGATAGGTGGTATAATGACCACCTGCTGGGTACTGAAGACTGTTACACACATAGATAGAGACCCAGGTTCGATCCCTGGGTCAGGAAGGTCCCCTGGAGAAAGGAATGGCTACCCACTCCTGCGTCTTGCCTGGAGAACTCCATGGACAGCGGGGCATGGAGGGCTACAGCAGGCACTACAACTGAGCGACTACGCTGCCCCTGTTTTCAGAGTCCTGGAAGCCAAACACAGGCCCTCTCGACCTCTCTTCCCGTGATCTCGGTTTCCGTTTGTTTCAGCTTTTACACTTCAGGACATGATTTAAAAAATGTGGTAATTCCTATTTGGTTAGACAACACAACACTATATTCTGAAAACGATATCCATCAATCAAGAGGAAAACATAGGTTTACTCAGAAAGGGGCTTCCCATGTAGCTCAGCTGGTAAAGAATCCACCTGCAATGCAAGAGACCTCAGTTCAGTTCCCGGGCCGGGAAAATCCACTGGAGAACGGACAGGCTGCCCGCTCCAGTATTCTTGGGCTTCCCTCGCGGCTCCGCTGGTAAAAAGACTCCGCCTGCAGTGCGGGAGGCCTGGGTTCGATCCCTGGGTTCAGAAGATCCCCTGGAGAAGAGAATGGCTACCCACTCCAGTATTCTGACCTGTACAGTCCACAGGGTCGCAAACAGTTGCACACAACTGAGTGACTTTCACTTCATTTTACTCAGAAAAAGCTCAAGAACGAGGTTAATTGTTTGCACCAGCCTTCGCTTCATTTATACTCACAGACACAGTGAGGTTCCCCCAGGGAATGTCGCGGGCTGTCACATTCTGTTCCTCCCACGTCTTCAGAGTATCATTGCCAGGGTTAGAAGGCTCAACACACACACATCTGAGAAATCAGAATGGGATACACTTTTAAAGATTCTGAACTTCATGTTTATATCGTATTAAATCAATCACACAGTGGAGCAGTTTTTAACTTCTTAACTTTATTCCATGTTACAATGCATGGGGAAAAAAGTGAAAACATTTCAGAAACAATGGAATGGAATGAAGTTTGGCTTACATAAATAAAACAAAGAAAATGCTTACTTAATGAAACTAGTTGGACACATCCCTTGGGGCAGAACTATTTTCTTTAAAAATCTGGGAAGACACCACCTTTAACATGGTCAGCCTCCATTCAGTCTCATCACTTAACCTCCATGGAGCTGCCGCCGCCCCACTGTCCACACACACATCAGGTGCTGGGAACCAGTACAATGTCTGCTCTTGTTACTTCCAGGAATTCTAGCAATTCCTTTATGCATCTTAAGAGTCATCCTTACAGTAATGGGTAAAACATCATTTTTCAGGACAGCACTAGGAGAGTTAAGCTAATCAGAATTCAGTTCGTACCCAGAACTATCTGACCTGCCTGAAAAATCTAGAAACACACACATGAGAAAACAAATCTCTAAATATGGATTTAAAAAATGAAAAGAACAAACAAAAATATTCTCAACTGGACCACGAGCTGTTTGAGAACAGGTGGGAGGCTGGACTTCAGATTCACTGAGGCTCTGTCATTTGCTAGTTATTTGACCCAAGTCAAGTTCTAACCTTAAAGAGCCTCGGGTTCTTCATACACAAAAGGGGCTATGACACGAATGACTCACAGCGACATGAATATTAAGCAACACTCAACACAGTGTCTGCCGCAAAATGTCAGCTGAACAAAGGATTTGCACACCAGAAACAATGCTCTAACTGCTGTCACAAGCTGTGAAAATCATGCTCACGCTTCTTAAAGATCAGAGTAACAGGGAAAGAGAGAAGACAGAGGATTAAGTAAAAAAATACCTAGTTTGAGAACAAAGTTGACGCAAAACAGACTTGGTATCAGAGTGCCACTGATACTTTCAAGCAGGTCAATGTCTTACGGGAAGTTGCAGGCTCCTCCGTCCCCTGTCCATCAAGGCCGGGAGTGTGGAGGGCAGCGGGGGAGGAGCAGTGTGACGCGGGGGCACGGGGAGGGGCCAGGAGGAAGGGTTTTGGTCACCACGTTCCTCCTTGAAAGTTCACCAAATGCAGGCTCGAGCCCACATCAGCTGTGCGCAGGACAGCAAATACAGGCATCTACCTCAGAACGTGTCATTTTAATCACCTTCGTGACGTTTAAATGTCTGCCAACCCTTTGTAACTATTATAATTACTTCTCAAATCCCATTTTATTTCCGAGTCTTAAAATATTTTCATTTCATGCTTTATCACAAAGAAAATAATCCGCTAAACAGCATACAACAGTACACTGAAATTATATTTTAAAATAACATCCACAAAAATTAATGAAAATGCACAACATGAATAATATTTAAATATATAGTGGGCAGTTGCCAAACAACTGAACTTAAATTGGCCAATCCAATTTAAACATGAAATAAAAAACATACACACTTGGACAAATTGTTTCATGGAATAACAGTGACTGAATTTGTTCAGTCACATTTATGTCCACTGAGTGCTTTGGTAAGATCTCACCTGTAACAAACAAGTCAACCTCTGTATTGCCAGTTGGGTAGTTATAGCTTGATATACAGTGAGCATCACGTTGCAAAAAAAAAAAAAAAATCTGTTTTCTTTTGCTCTTAAAAGTCTGCAAAAATACATTTTAATATTAAGGGAAATAGAAACACTTACGAGTAGCTGGTCAGTTCCTCCAAATTGTTGTGCATATTAAATGCATATGTTTCTCCTAAATGGAAGAGCTTCTCCAAAGCCTCGTAGATGAATATGATGCAGATGAGAGCTGCAAAAGCCTCCTCGGTGAACCGCGTGATGTAGCACACCAGGCTGCTTGCATCTGTTGCAACCAGAACAATGCACAAGAAGGAGGTCCACAGACCAATACTGGTTCTCAGAGACAGATAGGAGAGGTGGTAATCTCTGCTTGGAAAGAAAAACAAACGTGGACACGATCAACATATACATGCCACACAGTACTGGTACTGAAAATTTCCACAATAAGCAGTAAGAACAGTATAAAAGCATGAGATTTCTAAAAGAGAGCATATCACAGAATAACAAAATAATACCTAGAGAAACCTTTATGTGTTTTTCTTTCTTTTGCTTCAACTGAAGGCTAGCTTGTTGTTAGACTTAACAGTTATATTTTACTTACACATAAGTTTTCCAGTGTAAACCTACCAGGCAATATACACTTAAAAACAAAGACCTCACTTTAGAAATCAGTTATGAGGCTTAGGCGACAGACAGCAGCCTCCAGGACACCTGGATATATGCTGCTCTCTGCGCCCCAGGGCTCAGGGTGACACGGCGGCCACACCCCTGCCCCGCCGCCACACCCCTGCCCCGCCGCCATGCCCCTGCCCCGACGTCACACCTCCACCGCCAGCATCACCCCACAGTGACTCATTTTCCAACTCAGTGTCAAACAAGTGAGCCTAAAACAGGTCAGGCCACTACATTCTCGATTTATGTGTGTATCATGCCAGATCAGAATCAGCTTGTTCAGGGAAGAAAGAATCAGAACAAGAGGAATTAGATGAATCAAACCTGTAACAGCAGCAAGTTGTTTCAGGCTAAACATCCAGCTGCAATGCTCTCACTAAAGGCGCAGGACTGCTGGGTCAAATTCTGAGGCCACAGCCCAGCAGCCTGCACTGACCCTGCGCGTGAACAACCCCCGCCCGCTGCCTGGCAGAGCCAGCACCAGCCTTCTAGACTCACCTCTTTCTAAACTTCTAACAAGACCAGCATACTGTTCAATACCTAATTCAGATTTAACACCTTCTGACTAGGCTGAAATTTGGTAACACAAAGGATTTTTACTGTCCCTCAAGTGACATGCTTATCAGAACTCAAATCCATGGACTTTATACCCAAGGGGACTGGGGTGACAGCAGGAGCCAGAGGAGGGTTTCCCACACAGTGGCCCCAAAACACTGAAAAAAAAAAAAAATTTATATATATATATATACTGATCAGATCCTCTTTTCCAGCTATTAATACACAAAGAACTTTTAATTTAATACAATAATATATAACTTACGTAAACATGTGAAAAGTGGATAGCTATTACATACCTGCAGAATTTAAATAAAATTTTTTCAAACACTAAAACTGGACCTGTGCTCCCCAATATTGTGAGAGGTTGCCCAGCAAACAACGAGTAGGCAATCCCAGTTAATGATGCTCCAAAAAGAGACTCTATTGCACTCTGTTTAAGGAAAGAAGAAATGAAGAAAAGTAATACATCATGAACACATCTGTAACCTACTGTAGTACATGTAAGACACCTGAAAAATAAAAACAGCAATCAAGTGGTTTAAAAAAATACCGTAAATGCAACTTTAAATCTCAAACTTAACATTTAAATAAAGAAAATTACAAACATATTTTAAATACACTAGAAAATTGTTTTGTTTTCACATACTGGAGGTGAACTTTTGCAATCAACATTAACTTAAAACTCAACACTGTGGGAGACAGGGAGAGTGGGGTACATGGAAGACAGACACAAGAGGCTTCAACCCCTCTACATAACATGCTTTACTTCTGAAGCCTGTGGGGAGGACAAAGATGCATATATTGTTTTCAATATTGTGGCATGTCCAAAACAGTTCATTTAAGAAAATAAAAAGTATTTAAAGTGTTTGACATGGTGTGTTCCAAAAAAATCTACTCCTTCAAATAGATGAACAAGACATTATCACATGGACCTATTGTTCTCAAGTTGATTTCCAAAGACAATTCCCCACACATTTAAAAGAAATTATTCTAATATGACTGGCTTAACCAATAAATATAAAAATTGAAATGCTTAACACAAATAAATGAAAAATCTCCTCGAAACCATAGAAAAGGAAAACCCACTAAAGTTGGGTTAAAGTGATAAAATGAAAGACTCAGAAAAATCTTGAAAGCTAGTAGGCCAGTTTTATTTCACCACCAATGTCACACCCTAACTGACTAGGGGATCAGTTGGGAAGGTGTATAGACTCTGCCACTAGACAGGGAGGTGGGGGCAGAAAGAAAACAGTTTCCATTCACAAACATCAAGGTCAACGGGAATACACGACCAGGAAAGGGAAAGCCTAGCATCAGTAAAGCAAAGAGAAGGCGCTTGTGAGAGACAGTCCTCCTGGGCCTGGAGGCAGCAAGCAGCGGGCAGAGATCAGGGCTCCAGGGGACCAGATCGGAGGAAGGAGGCCACCTCCTGCGAGCTGTGAGCTGCTGAACCACGGCCACGTCTCCAACTCATCCAGCCCAACTTTCCTCACCTTTGAATGCGGGTGATGAGAGCCAGGAGAGCTTAATGAAGCAGTGTTTCTGCAAACACCAGCAGGAACGCTGTCTGGCATATGGGATGCTCTCAACATCAGTACTAACAGCGTGTCAGAATCACTCACAGCAGAGACAGTTATGTCGTAAATGAGACATTCAACTCTCAGTATAAAAACAGGATCAAACCCATATACAGATTTCACTTTTGGCAAAATGAGGACGAGTTCATGTTAACAATGTACTTATGAATTGTACGAGATAAACGTGTTTTCTTGCCCACAGACAAAAAAGACTGTCCTGGAAGACACTGCTTGCTAAGCTGTTATAAAATCCTTGGTTCAATTACAGTCTATATGTTTAGGAATGAATTCAGAGCTCAAATCAAAGGGAAAAAATTTTCTAAGCGTCATCGAGAAACAGAAAGCAGAGAAACAGAAAGAAGGAGATGGCAAATAAAGAAATGCTAATGGGGGGGTGGGGAGGGGGTTGGTAAGGGGTAGCGGGTGTGGAGATGCTGCCAGGCACAGAATGAACTCCCCCCCAAGTGCTGTGTGGAAAAAGCAGACTCTGCCTGGTGGAGTCCTTCCTTACTGTTCCCCTCACTGCCACATTCACTAGTTCCTCTACCCAGATCCACCTTTTCCCAAGTTTTAAGCCACTTCTATGTTCTTTGCCAAAGTGAAACCCATCCTTCCCTGAAGAAATCACAGCCCCACTGTGCTGCCTCCCCCAACCCACTTTCAGTCTCCAAGTCATCACCCAGCAGAAGCCTCCCCTCGTCACCCCCTCACCCCCCACTGCAGGGCGCGGGGCAGTCCCTGCTCAAGTCACCTCCTTCTCGACCTCTGATTTGGTTTCTGCAAAGTTAAACCGTCCTGATCTCTCGCTCAAAGCTCTGCTGTGCCCTTGTCTAATCTGCTGGGCCACTTCCTCCTAACTCCCCTCCTTCTTCCCATCCACAAATGGGGATAACTTTCCCTTTCTCCTCTCCCTTTAAAGTGCTAACCTCATCTATCTCACCTTCCCACTCTGTATTTCTTTCCTACCACTCTAGAAACTCTGGATCTACACTTCCTAATGTCTCCACTTTTACCTGAAGTTCCAATAAAGCACCTGAAAATAAACACAGCATCTCCGTGTCATGTCCCTCCATAATCCTTCTGACTTCTCTGCTTCTATAATTATAGCTCCTACAGCTCTTCCTTCATCTCACTGTGTGCTGCCCAGCACAGCATGACATAGGAACTGCATATACACTGTCTCTTCTTCTTATCGGTTAGGACCCCAAGGAGAGAAGACACACGCCCGTGTCTCACCCGTGTCCGCACTCCTCCAACGTCTAAAGCGCTATCACACACACAGGGTACTAAGAGCAGGATGAGATGGGGAGGCAGTGAGTGACAGTCCAAGAGGAAGAAGCAGAACTTCCATGACGGTAACAGACAAGACACACCTCCTTGGGGACCAGCAGAGATACACCATACAGCTTGTGACAGCTGCTTTAAGCAGCTTACTAAAAATATATACCTCTGATATAATAACATTAAAGAGTAATATAAATGAATCTAAATAACCGAAAATAAACTGAGTTGAAAGGAAATTTCAGTTGTCAGGTTTACCTCAAGCTCAGCTTATGAAATACTTTAAGCAATTATTACTACTTTAGGTTTGGTTGGTTTTTAAAAACCTTAAGATCTATAAAAAATAAACTTTCTTCAAAGAGAAAATATCATTAAACAAAATACACTTAGGAATCACAAACTGTCTCACTTAAATGCCATTAAAATGTATATAAACAGCAACAAAAAACACTTTCTCAATTTCACAAAGCACCAGATGCTGCTCTGTAACCACAGCCCAGTATGGTATTACCCAGAACAAAACATAAAAGCTTTCATTCTAGTCATGTCAATACACAGATGTAGTTTTCAGTTATACTTTCCAGTTAACACTTTGACAACTTTCACACGTTTAGTAACAGCAAAATTAAAGTAAACACCACTTCAAAATCCATCATTGTCCACAATTGTGCTCCCTTCTTCCCAACGGCCTGCCTGGTGGACCTGCCAGGGCAGATGGATTACTGGTCATCACGTGGCTCTAACTAGTCCTATGATGCCCTGAAGGACACAGAGCGCCCACCCCCGCCCCCAATAAACTCTCCCACCCACGACCCACCGGGACGAGTTCAGTTCATCTGATCCCCCCCACCCACCCCCCCACAGAGACAATACAAGCCTTTTACTCAATTGATAAAACCATTCATCCAGCAAGCCATGAAAAACTTTTCTTTTTTTTACCTCAACTGTGCATCTTCTCCTGTTCAAATGGCTTCCCCATGTTTTCCACAGCAATTACCTTTGGGGGAAGTCTGCTTTGGGACGGGTTAATCATGCTGTGGGGAGACTCTTCAAATAAAAGTAGGAATAGTGAGACAAATGCACACAGACACTTGCCTCTGAGGAGCTAAGAGCCTGGCCACTACCAATCTTTGTACTCACTATTCTGCCTTCTGTAGCTTCTCCAAGCAGCCCTCCAAAAGTGATTACAGGAGACATACAGGCACAGTATAGGAAAAGAATCGAGGCCAGGCACTGCAGACTTAATGCATCCTTGAAGTCACTCAAGAAAAAAGGTGCTTTCCTTTTGATGTCAAGTATCAAACCACCAAAAAGCCTAAATAGGTGAGATGAAACTTGTCAAACTGTACACTAGAGGATTCTGGCTGTTCACACTAAAACTATGGGGTACATAAAACTGCTGGCGCCTAGCATTTGTCAACAAAAATAATATCCTATTTAAATAATGGTATAAATTTTAGAAGACACACTCATTTAATCTAATCCACTGAGAGCGGAAAGGTAGATCTCACTAAATTAAAAGAGACACAAACATCTATATCTTACGGACTATATACTGAAAAGACTACAGGCAAAAGACTTATATAACTAAATGCAATATCAAACACAAATGTGCAAGGAAACGTACAATAAAAATAAATAAAACCTAACAACCCATTTATGAAAATGTGTGCAAGCAATGCTATTAATCATTATCTACATTATAAATCTTAAAGGCAAGTGTGGGAAATACCAGGAATGCAATTATAATATAAATCATAAGTCCCCAAACGCCGTTTAGTAAGTACCTGTGCTTAGGTTCACTCAGTAGTGAATTAAATAATTTTACTTCTAAAATTAATACTCCAAACACATAAATATTTCTGGTCTAGAAAAAAGTCTAAAAACTGTTTCAGTGTATGTAATTTACTGTGTATGTAGTCAAACCAGTGTGTATATTAATAAAAAGATGTTTTAATTAGTAAATTTAAGTCCATATTTGTGCATCAAATCCTTCTCATTTCACTGTTTCTTCAGTCAGACTTTTGGATACACCTGACCTGAAAGCACTCCACTATAAAACAAGCTCTGTGAGGAGCAGGGACCTTGTCTTATTCACTGCTACTCTCTCCAGGGTTTAGAACACTGCCTGGGGAGCAGTAGAAACTCAATAAATACTGGTGACAAACCAGTAATTCAAAAAGATTGTGCAACTTATAAAATATATAATCATTTAAATCCCTACTGCAGAAAAATACACCAAAAAAGTTAATATGCTTTCAAAATACATCAAAAAGGTTAATCTCATGCTTTGAAAAGCTTTAGATCAGCATTCCTCAACCTAACTGGCACCAGGGACCAGTTTCATGAAACACAACTTTTCCACAGACTGGGAGGATGTGAGTGATGGGGAGCAGCTGTAAACCCACCGCTCCCCCGTGCTCTGAGGCCTGGCTCCTCACAGGCCATGGACCAGTGCCGGGGTTGGGGACTCTTGCTCTAGATGTTTCAAACTTTACCATTCTAGTTTTTTCCAAAGTTAATACTGAAATAAACCTAAAGGTACACTGACAGCTGGAGTAAGTTATCCTATAAATAATATGACAGCAATGGGACTAAAAAATCTATAAAGGAAAGGGTGCCAACTTGCAATAAAAATAGTGCCAATGATAATCTAGTTAATGAAACTATATCATCAAGTCAAAAATTTATATGAGATTCTCAGGTAACATGAGAGTAGGAGCCTGGCTTTGTACTTCTTAGTGACTAGCCCTACCTCAGTTTGAAGAATAATAACTCAAACGAGCACCTTTCCCACGGGGGCAGAGGCTTACTCTAGTATAATTCAGAGACCACTGCTATTTAAGATTCAAGGTCTTCAGCTCATAGAGAGCACCAATGGGCAAACAGTATCACTATTCACACGCTTGCTTCTCTACAGTGACAATACCATGGTATTTTTCTATCTCTACAAAAATTCTAAGACACTGTTTGTACCTGGCAATATTCCTATTTTTTTATTCCAAGAATTAACTTCTGCAACAATTTTTCTAATCAGGTTTCCAGAGATTATAAGCTTGTCTGCCTGATTTTACATTATCTCATGATACACTGTTCACGGAAGAGTTTTACATCTCTGCATACACACAACACAACGGCTACAGTTCCTCGCTGTTCCCATTGTTCTGACTGCCTATGAGAATGGCGATAGGACGCCACACTTTCCTCAAGAAGTCTTTTGTACAGCCAATTAAGTTAACCTCCTACAGAACTATAATATTCTTAACATATGCTGCATAATGTTTTTGTTTTAAATTAAATCCTAGTATACAGAATACAATATATTCTAGTAAGCTATTTTAAAATACATATTAATTATCCTTAACATTATATACCTATGAAAACAATACACATTTTTTAAAATATGGAAAAATACTAGACAAAATTAGTTTCCAAACACTTGCAAAGAAAAAGCATATTTCTGCTTTGTCCATCACATCAGTTTCTAGCCCCCAAGAAACGCCCGCACGGAAGCAGAGTCTGTACCCACCGTCCAGTCCTCTGGAGCTCGGGCCCCGCGTGGTGCGCTGCCTCCTTCGGGGCGTCACCAGAGCTGGGGGCAGATCCATTGGGAAATACAGGAATCTTTCTCTTTTCCTGCATTTCACAAAAAAAAAAAAAAAAAAGGAAAAAAAGGAAAGAAAAAGAAAAAAAACAACACACTTACATCTTTCAGAATTCTGTTTTAAGGAAGCCAAAATAGCATCTCCGTTAAAGAGAACATGAGCTGTCCCATTGATTATACGTCTAAACAGTACTCCTCGAAAAAAAAATGCTTCCTAGTATGAACTTCCACTTTAAAGACACTGCACTTTGAAATAGAATCTAAAATTTGTCTCTGTTAATATTTCAAATTTATACTGACTTTTTCTATTTTATAATCTGACATCAAATATACTATAGAACACTCACACACATCATTTCAAATTACTACTCAGCAACAGGAATATAAAAATCCAATAAAACATCTCTTCAGCTAGAATTTTAAATCCTTATTCATGTTCACTATTGAAAAAATATACTTTATACTTTATATTAAGAAAAAAAGGAAATTCCATTTTTTCTTATTAAATACTTCCCTTAAGATGTAAGTAGCATGAGTCATCAAATAAATTTTCATAAAAATCAACTCCCTATTATGTTTTATTACAAATTCAAGAGTACTATTCTCATGATAAAAGATACTTTCCTCCTCAGGGAGCAAGTTTTGTTACCTCCAAAGGTCAGAGGTTACTGGACCAAAAAAAAAGTGGGTTGCGGGCGAGGTGGAGTGGGAATAGAGCAACTGGGGGAGAGAGAAGGGAGACGGAGAGGAAAGAAGAGCCGTGGGGAGAAAGAGAAACATGGGCTGGGCGTGTTCATCCCAGGGGGACCCCAGATTAACCACAGCAGTGAACCCCCCGGGCACACGCTCAGTATTCAAAGAGTAGCCCCACTTGCCTATAGTCGTAAGACTACCATTTGAAAATGTCAAGTGAAACTCACTTATATCACAGCTCAAAGAGGAAAGAGAAAACAAAATTACTGAACTCCCACAAAATGCATCTAACGAAAATACTATGGATCACATTTGATGGGATATGGCAAAAGCATCATCAAGAAAACAAAGCAGCTCTTATATTAAGAAAAATGAAAGGACAAAAATAAATGTATTGAGTATTTAATTCACCAAATGTGAAAAAAAATCTTTCCTGAAGGAAAGTGAAAGGAATACAGCTAAATGCAGAAGCTGAGTTACACAACACAATATACTTTTTTAAAAAGGAGAACTGAAATAAATAATGAAGGTGCTCTATTAGAAAAACATGATTAAATCATCAGCTAATATACAACCAAAGATATGGCAAGGAAAGTCACAAATTTTAATACACAGTGAGAGGGAGAGGCACTACACAGCACAACCCTATGTGACTAAATGAAAATCTTGATAAAATGGGTACTATACTTTTAAAAAATTCCCCAAAGTTGACACCAAAAAACAGGAAAATATAACTTACCAAATCTGACTCCAGAAAAAAGAGAACATTTACACAAACCAATTTCCACAGAAGAAATAACAAGCTGTTGAAGTCTACCATACAAGAGTCCAGCTTAGAAAATTCTACTAAAAAATCTTCCAAACTTTTAGAATCAAAGTATTCCAAGCCACTTAAAGTTTAACGAGCACAGAAAAAGGAAAACTTACAAATCTGTTTTTATGAAACAAGTTTAATGATGATACCAAAATGTAAAGACTTCACAAAAATCTATAGACCAATCTACTTACAAATGGAGATGGAAGCAACTTAAATAAAACATTAGAAAAAGACTACAGACACTTTAAAGCCTAAGCTGGGTTATTCCAACAATGCAAGAGTGTCTTCAAATTAAAGAAACTATTAATATGATTTACCATAATAACTGGTAAGTAAAATTCATATATCATCCCCAGAAATGCTAAAAAGCCCTTTGACAAAATTCAACATTCACTTATATTAAAAAATTCAATAAAACAGAAAACAGGGTATTTTCTTAATATGATAAAATATGTATTTTGGCATCAATGATAGTAAGTTAATGAGAGAAACAATAAAGACTTTGACTACAATTATGAAAAAATTAAGAAATGCCCTTTAAAGTGGCCTACTATGTAAAACTATTAGAGATTTTAGTCAATACCGTTAGATAAGAGAAAACATGTTAAAGGTGTAAGAGCTAGAAAATGAATAATATTATCTTTTATTGGAGACCACATGACTATATACAATAAAAGAATTAAGGAAGGCAGCAGGATACAAAAGAAATATACAATGACCAATAGTCGTCATATATATATATATATAAATAAAAGCAACAGACAATATAATGGAACAAAGACCTCATTTATAACAGAAACAAAGATAAAATACTTAACGAATACACTCACCAAGAGGAGTGTAAGGTGCACATAAGGAGAATTTTATAATATTCCTTAAGGACACAAAAACTGACTTGAAAACAGTCAGGAAAACAACTGGGGAAAGATATACCATGTTCTTGAAAAGATTCCAACTTTCCCTCAGTTCATTTAGAAATTTAATTTCCATCACAATTTTTTAAAAATCACATTTTATTTCTGTAAATAGAAAGCTGATTTTAAAACTAATATTGAAAATAAATATGCAAAGACGACCAAAAAAATTCAGAAAAACAATAGTGAGGTCAAGAATGAATGCAGATCTACCAGATATTAAAATATATCAAAAACTTTCAGAAATTAAAGTGTGTAAGTGGTCCATGCCTAGACCAATCAATGGAAAAGAAATCCCAGAAACAGACCTGAATGAATATGGAAATTTAGTAAATGATAAAGACAACATCACCAAGCAAACAGAAAAATGCTTAACTTTTTAATAAACTGGGACAAACAGACTACAATTTAGAAAAAAGATAAACTGCATGCATTCTCTACATAGTACGTCATGATAAACACAAAAGGATCAGTGAATAATTTAAATGTTAAAAAAAAGTTGGTGGAGGGTGATGAACAAAAAATATTCAGGAATACTCAACTTCACTAATTACAGAAATACAAATTAAAATCACATTAAAATGCCTAATACAGTAAGATAATGGTAACTTATCAGACTGACAAATATCCAAAAGTTTGACAACACACCATGCTGGTGAGGCTGTAGGGAAACAGGCAATCTCTTTCATCACCAAAATGAGTCCAAAACAGTTAACCCAAGAAGAGGAGACTCTGGCAACATTTGCTAAAACTGTAGGTAAACTCCCATGTAAGCCAGTAAATCTTATTCCTGGGAATCTGTCCTACAGACACATCTGCACAAGACTAACATGTCAGGCGAACACCATGATGTGGTCTGTAACAGCTAAAAACGGGAGACAAGCTGCACCAGGATAGGACAGACTACAGCGCGTCCATGCTGGAATACAACAGAGCTGCGAGGAGGAGGAGGACTACTTCTGCCGTCTCTTACCATCACACCTGCAGGAAATACTGCTACATGAAAAAGGCAAGGAGCAGATCACTACACATAAGATGTTCACGTCTGGTAAGAAAGAGGAGAAAACAAGACTACATGTTCATGTTTCCCTGTACTGAATAAAAAGTGGAAGAATAACAAAAAACTAATAGCAAATGATGACCCGCAAGAGGTGGGGACAGGGTGGGATGGCAGAGAGGACGTGGTGGGGAACAACTTCTCCGGGTGTAGCTCTTCATACAGTTTTGAGTTTTGAAAATGTATAAACTACTTGAAAAAGGGGATTCAAAGAAGCACTGTGTAGATCCTCACCTGAGATGGAACACTCTTTGGCGGCTCTATGCGTATGGAAGGATCCCACTCTCCTGGAGGTAGGACGGTCACTTGATCTAAAAATTCATCAATTCCAGATAAGAGGTCATTTCTGTCTTTTGCTTTATAAGCTACATCATGAAAAATCTAAAGAAAAATAAACACATTGAGTAAAAGGATTTTAAAGTTGAAAGAAAATTTCATACATAGTAATCCACTTTCGATATCATAACAAAGTCTACATAAAGATAATTACCTAAACTCTCGACCCCACCTTCGATAACAACTTTAAAAAATAATGCACTATTAGTATTATCAGATACATTAACAGTAAAAACCAAACAACAAAAGAAACCAGTGATGTGTTAATACACAACAATTTTTAGAAAGAGAAAATTTTACTTGGGAAATAACATTTTAATGTCATTTATCCTAAAGAAATAATCATGAGTATGCTAACAATTTTACTTAAAATAGTTAATTAATTTGATCGTTCCTACTGACTGGGTGCCTACTGTTTGGTAGGTACCATTCTTTTCTTTTTCTGTGTTTTATTTTTGGCTGGGCTGGGTCTTCACTGTGGCACAGGCTTTTCTCTAGCTGTGCTAAGCAGGGGCTATTCCCCATCTGCGGGGTGCAGGCTTCAGTGGTTCGGGCACACGGGCTCAGCAGGTACAGCTCCCGGCTCTAGGGCCCAAGCTCAGTCAGGAGTCGGAGCAGAGTGGCTCCACAGCACATGGGATCTCCCCGGACCAGGGATGAACGAACCCAGGTCTCCTGCATTGGCAGGCGGATTCTTTACCACTGAGCCCCCAGGGAAGTTCTGGCAGGCACGACACGGTAAGTCAGAGTCCCTGCACTCAAGACTCGGGGTAATCACGTGAATCTACTACCGCAGGGGATAACAAGAACTCCTATAAAAATGAAGCAGGGTAAGGAAGGGCAACTGATGCGGGGGAANTTTACCACTGAGCCCCCAGGGAAGTTCTGGCAGGCACGACACGGTAAGTCAGAGTCCCTGCACTCAAGACTCGGGGTAATCACGTGAATCTACTACCGCAGGGGATAACAAGAACTCCTATAAAAATGAAGCAGGGTAAGGAAGGGCAACTGATGCGGGGGAATGGGGTGGCTGCGGAAGGTGTCTTAGAGGAGGAAACACTGCAGGAGGAATCTGACTGAGATGGGGGACAGAGCACATACAGGGTGGCGTGAGGGGTGGAGACAGCGCTCAGGCCAAGGAAGTGCTCAGTGTCCAGAGGCGGCAGTGAGCATCGTACATCCGAGGTGAAGAAAGGACGGCGAAGCGGATGGAGCAAGCAGTAGAGAAAGGGGGTTCGTCACAGCACATAAATTTCAAAAAGCACAGAGACTGGACTAAGCAGGCTCTATCAAGGCAACAGCGAAGAGCTTAAACAAATATCCAACAGGCATGTCACTGATACATCTAAATTAAGGAGATGATTTATTCAAATCTGCATATTACTGATAGCACAGAGGAAAATACTATAAGAGAAAGACCCATAAAATACACTTTAAAAACACCAAAGACGGTAAGAGAGTCTATAATTTAATATGCATTGTATGCTTCAGATCAAGGGGCATGTTCCTTACTTCATCTGTCATGAGGGTGGCTATTGATCTTCCAATTTCGTGATACTGTGGAGCCTTGCCTGCAGGCCCCAATAACAGAAACAAAAACCTAAGGGAACATTAAAACAGAGAGATTTAAACATGAACAACAGACATAAATCTAAGAATCATAAAGAATTCATACAAATGTAAACACAGAAACATTACTCAGACCTCCTCTTCATCCTCACATCCTATTGGCTGCAAAAAGGTTGGCAACTCTATTCAGATGAATCACAAAACTTAAAAAACGGCATTCATAATTAAGTTCCATCTTTCTTAGAGTAAAAAGTACTTAAGGAATCAGTGTTTTACATTAAAGATGGTGTTTCCCATCTTCTATATCCTTTTGAATTTTGAGTAAACAACTTTTTCTGATCTGTACTGATAAAAGAAGTCAATTAGTAAATAAAGTGAATACCAATCCAATTAAGTACTTACTTTGGCTTAAGAAAATAGATGAGTATTCAGAAGAAATTCATGGTCCCTCAAACTACAGTCTGGATAAAGACACTATAGGGAAAATAAAGGACTAACCCTTTTGGAAGTAAAAGCATTTTATTTACAACTCTTATTATTTAAAAGCCTCTTATTGTTTAACAACCTCTTATTGCCTATCCCATCTCCAAAGGATCTTCCTGACCCAGAAATCAACCCGGGGTCTCTTGCATTGCAGGCAGCTTTTTTTTTTTTAACAAACTGAGCTACTAGGGAAACCCAAATAAAAATTATTTAACTTCCTACTTATATTGTTATTAACATACAGTAAAATATTAATATTCATACTTATCCAAACTGGAAGTATTCATCTTCCTGCTTTGTAAGAATTTAAATGTGAATCTATGAATTATCTTTCTCATTTATCTCAGTACTGTACCATTAATGCAACTCAGGAAAGCTTATTAAAAACTAGTATGTACATTTCAAACAGGCTGTAATTAATTCTTCATATTTATTATTATAAAAATATATTCTTAATTATTCTCATTTGTAATTAAGTTCATATAATCAGTAGCTAACTGATCACACTTTATATTAATAACACAACTTGCTAATTATTCTTAATGTATATTGAATGAAAGATTGGATCAGGTCAGAACAAAGCATGCTGCCTAATTCAGGGACATTATTACATTTAGTCAACCCTGAGGTACTGTTACCCTCATTTTACAAGTAAAGCAGAAGCCTGGCCTGACCGTCCCAAAAAAGCAGCAGAGCAAGGACTCAACTCCATCCTCTGACTTCAGTGCCTGCACAGAACATACTATGAACAGAACTTTTCTTATAACAGCATAAATGCAATGTACTTTTTAAAGGAAGCTTTTTTTTTAGTTCCAGAAAGAAAGGTAAATCTTTAACGCTCTAATAGTCAAGGCACTGGGAAAATGACACCATTAACCGTTAGAAGCAGCTTTCACTACATAAAGCGACATGTTCCTCTAGATTCTGGACATTCTGGAAGAAGGTTAACTGCAAATAACCCTCCCTTACCTTGTAGGGACGGGGACTTCGGTTAGCCCTGAGAGAAGAACAGCGGGAGCCAGTCTCACAAACGCAATTATAGGTCTTTCTAAAAAATCCACCTCTCCCACCAGAACATTGGATGCCTCCGCTCCTGAAGGAATTTTTCTCATGAAATTCATATCAACCTATTGACAAATAAATAGTAATTAAAAATAAAGTGTGCATGGTACTAATCAGTCTAGAAGGAAACAGGAAAAAGATGCTTTAAGACTATTATTCGCTAATCAAAACTGGTGATCTAAAGGATGTTTAAGTGTCAAAATTCTCACAAGTACAAAGAATGAAGTTGACAAATACAAAGTGCAAGCAAAACACAGCTACCAAACAGTACTCCCAATTAGTTTACTGTCATGATCCTCACTACTGCAGAGATCTAAATTACCAAACAAACTAGAGGAAAGGTTCAATGAATATATAGCACCATTCATTAAAAAACTACTGAAGACAAAAATATAGTTCACAAACTAACAATGGTCCATGAAATTATACACAGTTCTAAAAATATTCATTTAGTCATGATCTATTGTTTAATCTTAGACATGAATTTGTTCCTTTATATTTTATGTATTTTATAAATCCTTTTTTACTTTAATGAACTACGGGCATTCCCCAGTATTTTCAGTAAGAGGGAAACATTGTTTTTATTTTCATTTACAACTAAAGTAGTCATAATTGGTATACATATATGGTAGTGCTGTCTAATCGAATTAGGTTGTCTGTGTATAATTACAAAGAAAAGGTTATGGACATAATTCAAAGTACGGCAACTTCTTCGTTTGTATGCAGCTTCACACAGTCACTGAACAACCACTAGCAGGGCTTCTAGGAACATAAAAGTAGCACTTACGGCGGGCCTCTCGAGTCCCACACCCAGCGTGCCACAACTACAGTGCCAGGAGGCAGACTCCTGCCCGACGGGATACGCGGGTGTGCACAGATAGACCAAGTGAAAGAAAGCACAGCTGTGTCAGGGGAGCAAACCAAATGGCACCTGCCACGTCTAGAGGAGATCTGTGGCAGAAATTACAGCAAAATCTGTCCACAGACTCCGTCCTGAAAACCTGACACTCATCTGAAATAACTGCGGCACCAGTAAGAATATGATCAACTTACAACAGAACAACAGTACGATGTCCCAAATGCAAGGCTTTTAACTTTAGAGCATGAAGCTCAGCAAGGCTATAACGCAAATCATCATTTAAGTGCCTTTTCTACAAAACGTGATTCATAGACTCCACATCATAAAGGCTTAAAAATTGAAATTAACTTGAAATAATGGCATTTAATTAGAAGTCTGACATTGTATCCTATAGTAAATACCATCAAACACCATCAAAAAAATTACAATGGATATCAAGAATCAATTATTCAGAGGTAGTACTCAAAAGTATGCTTTAAATTCAACTGTAATTTGAACTTGCAGTTTTTTGCTTTGTTCTTTTGAAATAAGCTCTTTTTTACATTTCATTTAACACTCACCTATGAAAATTAAAAATCACAGTTGAGATAGGTGAGTTATTTTTCAATTCACGTCTTTACCTTTACCTATCCATGGGGAAGCACCGATGTTTCCCAGTTACATTCCAGAAAGCACTGACACCGCAAGACAGTAATTCTCGGGTCACATTACAGCCGAGAAGAGGCTGAATTGTTACTGCTGTAACACCACTCCCAGAATTAACCTTTCTAGTAGTGGCAGCTCCACAACAAATGCCTGCAGTTCATGATATCTATGCGTGGGTATAGATGAAAATACTGTATTATCCCCATATTCTTTTGTCAGGATTTCTAACACTAGTAAGATGTAACATTATTCAAGTGCTATGAGACTGTTACCTTTTTCACAATTTCTGATCTTAAATTAACATCACAAGCATCACATCAGGTTTACAAGCACCAGTTATTAAAAAACTATAATCACTGTTAATATAGTCACATTGCTAGCAATTGTCTCAGTAAGCATGATTATGAAAATGTATAGTTTATAACAGAAATTACCTTGCTGAAGTCAACAGTACTATTTTCTCTGCTTCCTCCACTTCCATTACCTTTAATTTCTCCACCTTTACTATTGTCCAAGTTTCCAGGTGCAGACTGTGGAGAGGCCAAAATACCTGTATTTAAGAACAAACAATTTCCAAAGTAGTAAGAAGAAAATTCACTTTGCAACCTGAATTTGCTCATATCCTGTAAGTGATGGGTTTACTGAAAGCAAATGTGCTAGGTAAAAAAAAAAAAAAGTGCCAAGTGTTAGTACCATACCAGCAAGAGTGGGATAACATTTTAAGCAATAATGAAGCTATACATGTTAACATTTAAAATAATATAATTGGCATTTACAAAAATGGTGGCCTTTTGCAAAAAGAAAAAAAGTGAGTAGAAGGTGGAAGACCTGGGTCTGATCACCACTATAAATACTTAGCACATCCACTTTCACTGTATCCTTAGACACGTGAACTGCAGAGCTTAAAGATGCCTAACTGCTTCTTAGCACACTTACATCAGTAACAATGTAAAATTTCTGATAAACCCTAAATGAAAATGCAAGAGCTACATCAATGAAATATACACTCATTTTGCCATAATCCTTCATAATTAGTTTCCTCATGAATTTTCACCTCTCTTGGGTAAAATTCATGTCCTGTCTACTGTCATTATTCATAAGGACTATGCTAAAATACAATAGCAATGTTTTTATGATATAAATACAAAGAATACAGAACTTATAAGGGAACGGATCTATGTTAAAATAAGTACTCTTTGCCACTTTGTAGCTATGTGTATGACCTTAAGTAACTCACTCAACTTCTAAGACACAGACAAACTTATAAAATTTGTTTGTTTGGATTAGAAATGATATACATTCTATTAAATTAACTTGTCTGGATTACAAGTGACAGACACATGTTCATGCACGGTATACTCAGTTCAAGCAAAACTCAGCAGCAACAAGTCACACACAAAAATAACCTAAAATCACCCAACAGCATATTACTAATCATTACTACTATGTATTCACAAAAAGTTCAAATGCTACAAAAACTTTAGAGTATGTAACACAGATTTCTACCATTAAGTGTACCTAATTTTTTCAAAACACCCAAGGCTTTCTAGTTCAAGAATATAGATTAATATCACCCAAAACACTGAATATCACAGGAGAAAATGCACCAGACAACTGCAACAGACTTTACTTCTAGTTTTAACTCTGCCACTCACAACAACCTAGTGACCCCCAGAAAGTCACCACTACATTGTTTGTGGTTAGAATCCATAAACTTTAAACAGTGGCAATTAAATTTTAAAATTTTAAGCATATCAGATATAGTCTATGCATTTTTGTTTTTATAGAATACAACATATACTAACTAGTAACCTGAAACTAAGTCATTTGAGTTTACAGCTTAAATTCAGTGAATGAAGACCTTCATGACACTCTGTTTAACACCTATGCCAGGATGCCACTGTGACCCAAAATCTCAGTAAAGAAAGTATATGCAGTCCACTTAGCCATATACCCACTCCCAAGAAATTGTAAACAATTCTGAAATAAAAACTGTTCCCTAAACTGAACTCATTTTAGTCTCTTTGACCTTTGTCCCTAAACTTCCATAAAAGAATCCATTCCTCTATTAAAATACATGCTCAAGTGTAAGAAGAAAAAGTTAAGCAGTTATTTTTCAGTGGTTTCCACCAACTCCCACACAAGAATATGAAGAGTATCATTTAAGACCCTGGCAGCAACTACAAGTGACCATCAACACACGCACGCTGCTAACTACAAACTGCATCCAACCTGCAGACGTGTAACCAAAGAAAACAGGCACAGTTTCTCAGAATAGTCCTGGCCACCACATCTGGGGGAGAAGAATGGGACGTGGAGAAGGCTCAACAGGAATTGGAAGAAGAAACGACCTGCAACTCAACACTGACAAAGTCAGAAGAGAGGGCGCGAGGAAGCCAGGGGTTCACCTGCTCACCCTGAACGTGTTAGGGCGGGCAGGCCAGGCACACTTAGTTTCCCACCACCGCCTTCTCCATGCAGTCTTCCCTGATGTCAGCTAAGTTAAAGCTATATGCTGAAAAGGTAAAGGAAATGTCCTTGCTCCTGCAGTAAATTCCTAGTGCTCAGAATTAAATGAGTAAATTCCCCCAAATTAAAACTATAATGAGCACAGATAACTTGCAAGGACTTTAGTTACTTGCTTTAAGCAAAAGAAAAAGCAAATACGAGTATGTATAAAATCAATCCTGGGATTTAAGTCATACTCTGGTAAATCTATTATTTTGCCCTTTCATTTTTTTCCCTCAAAATAGCATATCTACCTAGAAAAATTAAGCAAAGACATCGAAGCTTCCTGTCATTAAAGATTTGACAGCAGAAGTGTCCAGAGCAGTAGTTCCCATCCATGGAAGGCTATGAATGTGCTGGCAGGCGGTGGCTGCGGGCCGAGGGTGCTGCTCAATAGCTGACAATGCACAAGACACCTGACCACACAGAACTGTCCCCCAAAAGGCCAGTAGTGCCGAGGGTAAGAAACACCGAGTCAGAAGACACTCACACACACTCAAAGTGAGTTATGTCCTTTACCTAAGTATTCTCTAAAAAATAACTGATGGCAAACACTGCTTTCCTTTTCGTTTTCCTTTCCTACAGGTATTCACAAATCGTGACCTCATGACACTAAGAATCTCTGGCACTGGTCTCTCAGAAATGATGATGAGCCCACCTGCTTGACCAGACTTCAGGAAAAGACAGCAGGGTTTCCAGGTGCTCTGGGCAGCGGGGACTAATGGAGAGCTGTCCCTGTCACTGTGACTACGTTCCTTCTACAATGCCGTCTTAGCAATTATGAGCTCTCCCTTGTCCTCAGAAATCCTCTCCCCTGCACTCTAGTTTCTTCTCTTCCAAAAGGCGAGTAAATCCCAGAGGGAGGAAAAATTTAATTGTGTCCCTCAATTTTCAGTTAATTGCTCTTTTTATCCTCTTAACATGACCTAATAAGTCACTGGGAACCTGTATGCCCCTATCTTCCCATACAAAGCTTATAGTCTCTTATCATTAATTAGACTGAAGCTGGTAAAACAAGAAACAGTCAGTATTATTGACAGATATAGGTAAAAACAAATGCAAGGGGAAGTAACTTCAAAGTTAATTTTATTCAAGAAAAAAAGTCAATTTTGCTAGTCTTTTTTAATGAAGTAAAAGTGTTCATTATTTCTGAGCAATTATTTCTAGGTATCTTTTCCCCAATTTTGTTTAGTTACCTCATTATAATACATCTTTTCCACAAAGTATTAAAATTTACAATGAAATTCTATAGTATAGATTTTGTTGTAGGTAGTTCTGGGTTCAATTCCTTTGTCTGAAAAAAAAAATCCCTTTGTCTGGTCATTTATGGTCTAACCTTAACATCTCTAAGTCTTAATTTTTTTCATTGTACAAACAGTGATAAGATAAACTCATCAAATAGAAATATAATAACCCTTAAGTAAGTTACAAACCTTTTATCCACTAAGGCATAATTTTTCTAATTCATGTAGAAATAAGTCCTATTTGCAACTATAGGAACCCTACTCCTAAAACTTTCAAGGTGAATTCAGATGAAAGATAGATACAGCATTAAATAAAAGACAACTGAAGTCTACTCCAAATTATAAAACTAGTCGGAATAATGATGACTCCAGGCAGTCAACAGTGAACCTCAATCCTCTCAGAGACAAGATGAGAAAAAGAACATCATTCTACTTTGGCAGGAAGGTGAAAACACACTGCATCCCTTACACAAAAGCACCAAAACAGTAGATAAAACGCTTCTCATTATACTTTATGTAGAGCATGTGTTCATTCACTTGATGGAATGAAATGCACAAGAAGAGCCACCATTTTTTTTTAATCATGGCAAATTAAAAGATGACCTGTAAAAATGTCTACATTTGTCTGAGCCATTCAAATGCACTGACCTGTAAAACCTCAGTAAAAAATTTTGAAAGGGCTTAAATTATGTGTAGGCTCCTTTGAAATCTTTGTAAAACTTAAAATTTTAAAATAATTCTATCCTTTTCTATAACACACTATAAAGAAAAAAAAAAACATGCAGAAGTCAAAATAAATTGTAAGCATCATCTACATAATGCTGATTAAGCTATGTGCTGAGAGGCATTCCAAGTGCAAGGGGTCCAGAGGCAGAAAGCACCACACATGGGGACTTTGGATAGTTGCCTGCAGTCACGTCAACATTCTCCTCACTCTTCTGCTCCTGGCCTTGCAGCGCTTCTACGTCTTCCTCGGGCGGATGGATTACTACTGTGGGAATATCGGCACTGGCAGCGGACACCAGGAGCTCTGGGGCCTGAGGCTGCCTCTGCCGGGAAGGTCTGGCGTGGAGGCGGCTGAGGCTAGGGCTGGAAGGAGGGCTGCTCTGAGGGGTGGGCGCGGGGCTTGTGCACCTCGAGCCCGCAGGGGTCCCGGCTCTCGAAGAAGGAAGAAGATGACTGACAAGAAGAGACAAAGGTGATTCTCCTCTCAAGGAAAGGTTTGAGGCAGACAGACCTGTTCGCAAAGAGTGGCGGGAGGCTGAGAGGCCTTCCCCTGAGGTAAAACAAATAAATGAAAAGTGATGAAGTTTTATTGCAGAAGGCAACAGAGACACACAAAAATCTACTTACACTGTAAACCGCAAGCTTTAAAAAAGGTCCAAAATTTCAAATTCATGCTGTCAGGGTTAGTGTGACAATCTGAATTTTAAGTATTAGAAAATCACTGAAAAATGGCTTAAACTGTAATTAGTTCTCTGAAGGTGCATCCGAAACTCAGAACAAAAATTGAAAAACAATGTTAATGATAGATGGAGAGGGACAATATTCTGTTAGGAATGAGAATGTCCAACGGTGTGGCTTTAAAAACAAAAAGTAATGACAATGCAAAGCTGTTGCTTTAAAAAACGATAAACCGCAAATGAAAATATAACACAAAAATTATCTAAGAAACAGAAGCCAAAACAAAACTTACCAGCACTGAGAGCTTATATTTAGTGTATTTTATCTACACTGGACCAAACTGCTATGTATTCTCTCACAAGAAGAGCCCACATTAACAGTACCTAGTGACTCCTAACTTATAGTATCAAATCTTTATAACATTCAGCCAACAGGGCAGCATCCATTGACAGAACTCTCAAAATAAAATTTAAAAACATAAGGCAAGTCATGTGAATTTTTTTCAAAACAGAAACATGTCAGTTTTAAAAGATACATATTCTTGAGCTCACTATCTAACTGATATTAATAAATGTCCTAAGATATGTTTCCACATCTAATGCAGCAGATAAATTAAAACAAATACATATGATGTTTAATTTAACTAGCAAAGAATAAAATATTTTTTACCAACAGCAATGATAAGGTAGTCTAGAGTGTTTCAAAAGGTCATGTATACTTATAGTTCAAACACCAGGTTATTCTAATGAAGAGTAGCTTAGTGGAACAGTGTTTTTTTTTTTTTAGGAAAAGCATGAGAAATGTAACAATCCCAACTGATCTGGGTCAGGGGTCCTGAACCTCCGGAATCTAATGCCTGATGATCTTAGGTAGAGCTGATATAGTAATAATAGAAATAAGATACACAATAAATGTAACATGCCTGAATCATCTCAGAAGCATCCTCAACCACACCTCCCCAACCCTGGTCCATGGAAAAATTGTCTTCCATGAAACCAGTTCCCTGGTGCCAAAAAGGTGGGGGACTGCTGATATAAGTAATAAAAACTACATGCTCAACAGATCCCCAAAATATTACACATATTAACTATTATTTCATAAACCACCACTATTTAGGTAAAAAATAAGCTAGATGCAAAAAAACTGTTAAAATTACAACTATAGTAATACACCAAAATAAAAGAATGCTCATGCTAAAATGGCACCTACAAGAAAATAGCCAATGTCTTATGATTAAAAGGAACCAACTGACAACTGGAGGATAATCAGGAACCACTATGTATGGAGGAGAAAGATTTAATGTGGTCTCTCTAGGCAAATGAGTTCACTTTACTAAACTAGAAAATGTGCAATACACGGAAAGATGAAAAAAAGCGGTGACACGAATGGCTTGCTTTCAAACTCAACTTAGGCCCATGAAAGATTTCTTTTATTCTTAAGGTCCCTTGAATACAGAAAGGCAGTTTTAAATATATTAAAAAGTTTCAATGATCAAATATTCAGAAGAAAAAGGACTTAATTATCTTAGACTGAGCCACTGAAGGAGACTGAGTACTGTTACCTTTACATGTGTTTAGTCCTCCACCTGTGAGTGTGCTTGTAGCACGTAAGAGCCACACTCTCACTGCAGAGATAGAAAGATGAGCGGGAAGGTTTGCGGCCCACCCCGACTCCTCACTGTAACCCTCACTGCCTTGGGTAACAGCAGCAGCTGGACACAGCAGTGACCCTCAGATCAACCCTGGTTCTCTGCAGCTGGGTTTTCCAGAGTCACTGTTGTCAGAGACATCTTTGAGACCCAAACAGAGCCGCAGTGACTGCATGCCAGCTGTAAGACAGGGGCAGAGGGGAGCAGCTACCCGAACAGTCTCCCCAGCTCCCCATGAGTGAACCATGAGTGAGTGGATGGGGGTCTGTGCCACTCTCCGTGACTCGAGGACATCATAAAACAGGAACAAATACAAAAACCTTTTACAGATTATGTCAATAAAACGCTGGGAAAATTAAAAGCAAACCAGCTCCAAAATACAGTTTATGCCCAGCAAGTATAGTCTACTCAGGAGAAGAAAAAAAATCTTAGGAAAAATCTAATATTAAAGGTCCAAACACAAGACTGAATTTTCAAAAGATTAAACTAAATTTATAGATACCAATTTACAGCTCTTGTATCAACCATACAAGAATTCTTGAACAGAAACAGAAAAGCAAGGAGGAGAGTAATTAGGGTTACGTACAGTGTAGTGTCTGAAAGAAAGTGAAAGCGAAAGTCGCTCAGTCATGTCTGACTCTTTGCGAACCCATGGACTATACAGTCCATGGAATTCTCTAGGCTAGAATACTGGAGTGGGTAGCCTTTCCCTTCTCCAGGGGATCTTCCCAACCCAGGGATTGAACCCAGGTCTCCCGCATTGCAGGCAGATTCTTTACCAGCTGAGCCACAAGGGAAGCCCAAGAACACTGGAGTGGGTAGCCTATCCCTTCTCCAGCGGATCTTCCTGACCCAGAAATCGAACCGGGGTGTCCTGCACTGCAGGCAGATTCTTTACCAACTGAGCTATGAGGGAAGCCTCCGGTAGTGTTTAAATATTACCAACACTTCAGTGTCCCATTTTAACAGAGTAAATGATTAATTTTCTCATCTAAGTAATTTCTACAGATAATTCTGGCACATTATAAAGACATTTCAGAAATGAAATATTTAAATGCACAAATACTACTATTATTTTTTGAAAAAAGAATCAAAAAGATAAACGAGCTATGTAATTATCTAGAAAAAATGAGTTTCTTTTCCCAAATGCTAACTGTAACAAGCTGGAATGCTGTTAGTAAAGTGTTAGAAAAATTGGACACCACAACTTATCTCACCGTTCCTTTCAAGCAAGTGAGGGTCAGAATGTTTCTTGCCTATGTCTGCAAAAGATCGAACTAGGGGGATCCGGCTGGTGAACCTCTTCTCATTCTGATGGTGGTGCCTCTTCAGAAGGGCTTCTCTGACATTCTCTCTGATGGACTCGTCCAACTGGCCAGAGGCAATCATGTTGTCCAGTACCATATCTAGGCAAAGAAAATTACACAGATAGCCATCATTGTTACTAAATAAAGTCAACACCTGGATGACTGTAACACATAATAAATGGTAAATGAAATCTTACCAGGAAAATAAGACTCTTACATAGTTCTATAAAGCATTATTCTCTTCTAACATTTAATAATGGATGCATAATGATAACTATGAACACAATCCAACAAAGCTGAACATATTAATAGAGACTCTGATTTTAATAAATACTATTATTTATTAAAAAGCTATTGTTACATACCAAGAGCCTTCCTATATAGCTGAAGGTGCTTTACTGATATGTATATAGTAAATTCCATTAAACTGGATATTTAAATAATACTGGTACCTAAGAAATGAAGATATTTTATGGCTTCACCTCATATTTTTCTCCAAAACTGTAGATGAAAATCTGTATTCATTCATTCAATAATTAACTATTTACTGAGCACCTATTACAGCAATTAACCAAGCAGACTGAGTTTCTGCTCTCACTCGTCCAGAGGCAGAAAACCAATGAGTAACTGAACAGATAAAATATGAAGTAGTAACTCTGTGGAAGATGTATGTACCAGGCTGTGAGGTGGGTGTGGGATTTTGGGGGGGGGGGGCGGTTTGACGGCAATGACAATTATATGTTACTGTGCTATCTGGACTTTTTTTTTTCTGTTTTTTTCACTTATTTCTATTAGTTGGAGGCTAATTACTTTATGGACTATTTTTAATTTACAAAGTACACACTGATATAAATATTTTTTAAAAGCGCCACTAACTTGAAATAAGAGTCAAGCTTTCAAAACTGTTTAAGTTTCCTCAGAGAAAAACTGTAAGGGATCAAACTAGCAGGTAAACTCTAACAGTAAAACCACAACTACAGGCTACCATATATGTGAAAACTGGACTGTACCTTTACTACGATATACTGTATTATGTGATCACTGGAAAGCCAAAGTAAGACATACTACATTTATCTAAATTTAATATTTCTAATTCCCAAATCACTTTTTTAGTCATTTATAGAAGACAAGAAAATTAAGGACTTTGATAACTGAAAGATTCGCAGCACAAGGTCAAGTTAACTATCTGGTAACATCAAAGTATTTCCAGCCTGAGAAATTCTAATAAGTTTATGGTTCTCTTGAAGATCAAATACGACAGCTTCTTCTTTTTATATCGAGGTGACTATAATGGTAGTCACACTATAAAATTTATTACTACTGAACTTGATTTTGGTTGTGAGCAACTTCAGCTAATGACCAAGTAGCTTCATCACAGCATCTTTTTGTTCTTTCTCTCTCCATTTCCACTGGTACCACCTGCCACACTTCAGGTCGCTGGCATTTCTTGCTGAGACATTCCAAGAGAATAAACCACCTCCTGGCTTCTAACCTCTTCTAGTCCAAAGCCACCCTACCTCCTCCTCCCAGAATAATCCTGCTGACACATATCAAGACCACTGTTGTTGTTCAGTTGCTCAGTTGTGTCCGACTCTTTGTGACCTCATTGACTGTAGCCCACCACGCTCCCCTGTCCCTCACTATCTCCCAGACTTTGCTCAAATTCATGCCCACTGAGTTGGTGATGCTATTCAACCATCTCATCCTCTGTCACCCTTTTCTCACTTTACCTTCAATCTTTCTCAGCATCAGGATCTTTTCTAATGAGTCGGCTTTTTGCTTCAAGTGGCCAAAGTATCGGAGCTTCTACATCAGTCCTTCCAGTAAATATTCAGGATTGACTTCTTTAGGATTGACTAGTTTGATCTCCATGCAGTCCAAGGGACTCTCAAGAGTCTTCTCCAACACCACAGTTCAAAAGCATCAATTCTTTGGCACTCAGCTAACACCTTAGGCCTCCCCAACCCCAGCCTATCTCCTCAGCCCTGAGAGCTGCGAGGTTCTGTCCCGGTTCCTCAGGTTGTAGCCTGGGAACCACCTCGCTTGACAAGCTCAGGAACCACAGGGCCCAGCTTGCCGCTTCCTCTCTCAGAGCTCAGCGTCCTATGCTGCCTGTCGCCCCATGTCTGAAAACTACTACTTCAAACACTTTGTGCAGTTCTCTAGCTATTTACAGTTGGAAGGCAAATTCAATTCTGCTAAATAAACAAGGTGACAATATACAGCCTTGTTGTATCCTATTCCCAATACTGAACCAGTCAGTTGTTCCACATCTGGTTAATATTCTCGTACTTAAAGATCACTGAGAACCAAAATGCCTACCAAATCAAACACAATTTCTTAACCCAGTAATTCAAGGATAGTTGTAACTCACCTGTAAATTATTTTCCTGCAAATCTCAAGAAACCTGTATACTCACAGAGAACTGACCTTCCTGAGATCATACCTGCTGGTACTTTCTAGCCTTCTCTTCCTTCTCTTCCTCCTTAGAACACTTTCTTTCCTCTCACACCACCTTCCCCTTGCTGCCATGTGTTCACGTTCTATGGATAAGTCGTGCAGTTAATGTACCTTCTAGGTCTCTCCAGATACCACGGTCCAGAAATAAGCAAACGGAAAGCTCCTTCCTCTGCACCTCCAAAGAACAGACTCTGGATCTTGCTTATGGCACTAGTCACAATCTTCTTGACACTATAGCTACATCTGTCTCAGTTCATCTTTCAGACTCCAAAATTACCAAGGATAAAAAGGGTTATTTACATCTAACTCTACATACTGCCCTGCACAGAATGGAAGCTCAACATGTAACCATCAAATCAACAGTCCAGAATTCCACTTTATTTTCCTTATTTATCTCAACTTCACTGCAATTTAAACATAAAGAAGTCACTTTGCTGTCACCTGCTATTTCATCGAGAGTGCTTGCTCTCATATCCAGCATGACTGTTCCATTTAAGATGCAACTTCTCAGCTCAAAAAGACTATGTAAAGAAAGAGTTGCCACATAAGGTTTACTCCACCGGTCACCACCATCTTCAACATCCTCTTCAAATTTCAGCCATCTGAAATGTATAATGTATACAAATATGTTACAAATAGTGATGATTCTGTTTAATATGACAAATGCAAGCATATTCTTATAAAGAGAAAAAAAGATCACCATCACCAAAATAAAATTTTTCTACACACTTTTACAAATTAGGCTAATGGTCTGTAATGTTGAGAGTCACTAGATCTTGGCAGTTCCTCTTTCTGTTTCAGCTGTCACAACAGTAACTCTATAGAAACAAACTCTGGAATTCCATCACGTCAAATTCCAATCTTATTTTAAACGGGAAAAAGCAAAAAGGCCTCCCAAGATTTTTTTCTCTAATTAAAGACACGAAAATCTACAGTTAACATAATTCCTTTTGTGTTCTATTACGGTATTAAGAATTATTTAATGAAACAAATTATGAGAATAAAGAGAAAAATTAAATACTGAATTTCTAGACCCAAGGAAATTCTCTACTCATTGTTTTAAAGCATCGTGTGTCTCACAGTTTCAATCTTATGTTTCCATTACTGAAAGGAACCAAGAAGCAGCAGTTGGAAGCTCCGAGCGAGAGCGTCAGCACCTGGCCGTCTCCTTCCACTCGTACTCCTCCCCGTCCCTGTAGCACAGCTCGTCCATCTCCGTGAAGAGGTCGTGGGGCATGTGCTCCTCATCGTCGTCCTCAGTGCCAAGGATGAACTGCACCCTCTGGGATGGCGTGTCTTGACAAAAATCAGAATTTAAAAACACACACTCAAAAATCTTCCCCAATTAACACAAAGGCAAATTCAATACAGAATTTCCAAAAGTGAGGAAATTCTCTACTCACTGTTTTGTTACAGATATATTCCATTAAAACAAATTTCTTCTGATTATTATTAAAATAATACAATTCTGAAAGGAAATAAGGGCCAACAATCTAGAAAAAAAGAATTTCACAGAAAGATCACCTCTATAGATGAAAAAGAAAAACAGTATGTTAAAGATAACTCACACTAATCTTCAACAAACTTCTGTAAAAACAAAGTAAGCAATATCCAAAACCAAGAAAACACTGTGCATAAAACAGGACTTTGCCCTCATCAAAAATAGATGGAAATGTTAGACAACATACAATATTTAAAATAGTTAATTAAATAAATAAAATAGTTAATTAATAAGTAATTAAGTTGAAAAGTAAAAATAAAAAATCCCTGAGTTTCAAAAAAAAAAAAAAAAGAAGAGAAAACGCAAAACTAACTTTTCTTACGATCACGGAAAAGCAAGTCTGTCTCTGAGGTCAGAGACACAGGACAGGTCACTTCCACTCATGATCTCCGAGTCTATCTGTGTGGTACAGGATTCCCAACCGAGAAATTAACATACATTCTAGCCCAGAACAACTTAAACCCACAGGGGCCCCAGAATAAAGCATACATAAGCATACAACAACAAGCATCAATTAAAAACAAAATCAAATTCTTCCAAATATGAGAGAGGATATCAAATTGAAAATTTACATCTAAGTAAATAAACCTCCAGGAACTTAAAACCCCAACAGGGAAATTAAAACAGGTTACAAAGCAGACTAGAAGTAGAACTGTTCAAGGAAAAGACAGATGTAAGGAGGAGGTTATACAGAATGCATTAAGGACAAGACAGAAACACACACGGTTAAGAGATACAGAAAACAGAATAAGCTAGCCAAAGAGGAAAAACACCAGATAGAGGAAAATATAAAGAACAGGAGAAGAGGAAGAGTACGAAATGCAAAACTGTACAGTATGCACATGACATGGGTCTTCACAACGAAGGAATATTCTGGGACCAACACATGACAAAACCGTGGTGTGACTGGACTTCTAACACCTGAATCTTTCAACAGTTAGGTCTTACATATCTTTGTGAAATTTATCCCCAAATAATTTTTCTGGTGCTACTGTCTCAGTATTTACTTCATTTTCTGATTGTTCATTGCTCTTATATAGAGATACGGTTGATTCCGTACCCTGATTTTGTATCCTGCAACTTTGCCAAACTCATGTATTTCTGTAGCTTTGTAGACTGCTTAGGATTTGCTACATATGTTATTCTGTAATTGTGAATAAAGACAGTTTTACATCTTCGTTTATCTTCTGGATGTATTTCATTTCTTTCTTGCCGTATTCCGCTGAAGAGGTGTGCCAGTGCCATGCTGAACAGAAGTGGTGAGAGAGGACAGCCTGCCTTTTCCCAGTTCACGGGGAGAAAACTTTCAGTCTCCCACCAGCGTTTCTAGATGCTCTCTATCACACTGAGGAAGTTTCTTAATATTCCTAGTATGTTAGGGGAATTTTATCATGAATGGGGGTGGAATTTTTCTGTCTTATTGATATGATTACATGGTGTTTTTCTGGTTTATACCGTTAATAAGTTTACATTGATAGATGTTTAAATTTTAAAACAACCCTGAATTTCCACTTGCTTATCAATTTCCTATTGCTGCTATAGTCAATTGCTACAAATTCGGTGGCTTAAATAACACAAGTTTATTCTCTTACAGTTGTGGAGACCATAAGTCCAAAATGGGTTTTATACAGGGCTAAAACCATGGGGATGGTTCTCCCTGGAGGCTCCAGCTTCTGGAGGTTGCCCACATTCCCGGGGTCTGGACCCCTCCCCACTGTATCAATACCACCACTGTCTCCTTTGATCTTCTGACTCCTTGTGATTAAATCCAGACCATCTCCATTAATCCAGCATGATCTCCACCACTCAAGATCCTCTAATTTAGTCACATCTGTAAATTCACCTTTGCTAAATAAGGTTAACACTCAGATTCCAGACATCAGGGACGCAGACAAGGTGGGGGCCACCACTCAGCAAAGTGCTGTCATGATGGATTAGCTCTCTTAAATATTGGTGGAAAAAAGATGTGTTTATTTTCTTAAGGACTTCTGAATCTACATTTCTGAGAAGTAATTAGTGTGCAGTTTTATTCTCTAATAACATCTTTATAAAGTTTTGGTACCAGGGTAATGCTGGCTTCACAAGATGACTTGGGAAGTGAGGAAGTTTTCTAATATTCCTAGTTTGCTATTCCTAGTCTTGTCATCTTCAATAATCTGGCAGAGTCTGTGTTATTTCTTATTTTTATATGTTGCTATGTATGGGGAAGTAAATTTTCATCATGGATTGTCTGAGACTACAAATTCAATTTCTTTTTCTACATGCAGGGTAATTCAAGTTACCCATTTCTGCTTAAGAGCATGTAATCCTAAGAAACTTCCTCATTTAATCTGAAGTACCAATTTTGTTGGCACAGAATCATTCATAATACTCCCTCTATAGTCTTTAATATCTGTAGAATCTGTACTGAAAATTTCTGGTGCTGGTCATTTGTATCTTTTTTCCCCCTCACATGATCAGTCTGGCCATATAGATTTATCAATTTTATTGATCTTTTCAAAGAACCAGATTTTAGTCGAATTGATTTTTGCTAATATTGGTCTAATTTTTAGTTAATTCATTTTTGCTTTCATTTCAATTATTTCTTTTCCATATTTTGGTTTAATTTGCTCTATTTGTTCCTTCAATTTCTTAAATTTCAAGCTTAAATCACTGATTAGGTCTTTCCTTTTTTCTAATATTAAGATAAACTGCTATACATTTTTCTCTAAGCACTGCTTCAGCCACACCTGACAAATTTCAAACTATAGACATCCTCACTTTGCAGAGAGCCATGCTAAATGAAACCTGTGCAGGTCAGAACTATGTCCTCACTTTGAAGAATGTCGTCTCAGATACTGCCTATACTGGGTTTTCATTTTCATGAATTCAAGATACTTTCTAACTTCTATTGTGATTGCATCATTAACCCATGAGTACTGTGAATGCACCATTAACCCATGAGTTACTGAGAAGCTTTGCATTTAATTTCCAAATATCTGGGTATTTACCTCAGTATATTCCTAGTTTAATTCTATTGTGGTCAGAGAATATACTTTCAGTCCTTTCAAATGTACTGACTTGTTTTATGGCCTAGAATATGATCTTGGTAAATCTTTGATATGCACTTGTAAAGAATGTATATTTTGCTGTGGTTGAGTTCTATGCATGTGACTATCAACCTGATATTAGGTTTTCCATATCCTTACTGATTTTTTGTTCACTTGTTCTATCCATTACTGAGGAAGGAGAGCTGTTATTTCCAACTACACTTGTCGATTTCTCTCTTTCCAGTTTTACCAGTTTTTGCTTCACGGATTTTGAAGCTATTTAGGACTGTTACATCTTGGTTTCAGCAGTTTGATATTTGTGATTTTGGGTGGTTTTCTTCATGTTTCTTCTCCTTGGGCTTTGCTGAATTCCTTGGACCTGTTTCAGAGTTTTAATTACTTTTGGAAATTTTTCTGGCACTCCAATTATATACATGTTAGACTAGCTGAACTGATATTGTCTGACAAATTACTGATGCTGTTTATTGGTTTTTCAGCTTTTTTGTGTGTTTCATTTTGATTAGTTTCTATCACAATCTCTTAAAAAAAAATCACTAATCTTTCTTGTTCTGTAATGTCAAATCATCCATTAATCTTATCTGGCATACTATTCATTTCAGATACTATATTTTTCACATGTAGAAGTTCCATTTGGGACTTTCATGTATTTTCAGCTTCCCTCCTCATCAGTCTATTTTTCTCTCTCCCTTTGATCATATAAAGAGTATTTATTATACTGCTTTAACACGCTTGCTTTAGAATTCTATTAAGTCTGTCATTTCTGGATCTGCTCCTACTGATTTATTTGTCTCTTGGTTACATCTACTTTCCTACATCACTATATTTCAAGTAAGTTGTGAATGTCAGATATTGTGCACTTCACATGGTTGAATGCTAGGTTTTACTGCATTTCTTTCAGTAGTACTAGACTTTGTTCTGACATGCAGAAACTTGATGTCAATTTAATTCTTTCAAGATCTGCTTTAAAATTTTCTTTTAGTAGATTTACTGCAGTCTTGAGTGTAAAACTGATTTAGACCTCCTACTGAGTCCTACTGAGACCTCTACGTCAGAATAGTGGGAACACATCCTATACCTAGTTTTTATGTGAAATCCAGGAACTACTTACTGTAACTGCTTTCTGGAGGCAACCTGCAAGCCTCAGACAGTTTTCTGTCACACACACCCACATGAGCATTCAGCCAAAGACTGATCAGTGCCCTTCTTCAGACCTTTGGAACCCTCTCTGTGTGCAGCTCTCTATTCTCTGGCACTCTACATCTTAAATGCTAACACGTTCAGTTCAGTCAATCAGTTGTGTCTGACTCTTTGCGACCCCATGAATCACAGCACGCCAGGCCTCCCTGTCCATCACCAACTCCTGGAGTTTACTCAAACTCATGCCCATCGAGTCGGTGATGCCATCCAGCCATCTCATCCTCTGTCGCCCCTTGTCCTCCTGCCCCCAATCCCTCCCAGCATCAGGGTCTTTCCCAATGAGTCAACTCTTCACATGAGGTGGCCAAAGTATTGGAGTTTCAGCTTCAGCATCAGTCCTTCCAATGAACACCCAGGACGGATCTCCTTTAGGATGGACTGGTTGGATCTCCTTGCAGTCCAAGGGACTCTCAAGAGTCTTCTCCAACACCACAGTTCAAAAGCATCAATTCTTTGGCACTCAGCTAACACCTTAGGCCTCCCCAACCCCAGCCTATCTCCTCAGCCCTGAGAGCTGCGAGGTTCTGTCCTGGTTCCTCAGGTTGTGGCCTGGGAACCACCTCACTTGACAAGCTCAGGAACCACAGGGCCCAGCTTGCCGCTTCCTCTCTCAGAGCTCAGCGTCCTATGCTGCCTGTCGCCCCATGTCTGAAAACTACTACTTCAAACACTTTGTGCAGTTCTCTAGCTATTTACAGTTGGAAGGCAAATTCAATTCCTATTATTCCATCATGTCCAGAAGCAGCAGACCAGCATAATCTCTTTTTAGAGAGTCAGGGGAAGAAAGAAGCCACCTCATTCATAGCAATTTCTAGGATACAGACGGGCAGTTGAAACCAAAATAAACCCACCTCTGTGGCATAAAACTTTTCTAGGCATAATAACTCCATGAAAAGTCACAAATTATTTTCTCTACCAAATATATTTTTCAAACCACTATATTTAGACTTCAAATGTCAGACCTCAGCATAAACATTAAACCACCTAGCCAGGTGAACATATAAACATAATTAAGTAAAAAAATTTTCTATTAAAAAATACCGTGTACCTTTTTACTCAGAATGAAATAAAGAAGCATATTCATCTACTCACAAAGTAAGATATTCTAAACTGGATGGATCATCACATGGAACAGCAGAATACTTGTTGCTCAGTCACATCTGACTCTTTGCCACCACAAGGACTGTATGAAGCCTGCCCACTCCTCTGCCCACCGGATTCTCCAGATGAGAATACTGGAGTGGGTTGCCATTTCCTTCTCCTGAGGGTGCTCCGACCCAGGGACTGAACCCAGATCTCCTGCTTGGCAGGCAGATTCCCTACCACTGAGCCACCTGGGAAGCCCAGCAAGATACTTCTCAACTACCAATAGCATCAGAGTCCACCAGTGATCCTTTCTAAAATGAGCATCGACTTTCCCTTTGCTAGTGATGCTATCTTTCTTGGCTATTGGACCACTTAATATTGATAGAGTTTATCAGGCTGTCAGTATCTCTTAGGACTGGAGAAGAGATTCCCGTCATGTAGCCTCTCTAAGTTGAGGCTTCTCCGTCTATACAATGAAAACAATAATACCAATCTTTAGTTTTTTTAAATGCTGAGAAGATTAACTCAAAGGGCATATGTCAAGGGCTTTGTGGAATACTTCACAGAAATGGCAGTTAGCATTTTACTAGCCCATCAGTATTTCCCTTCCTTCAGTTGTGACATAAGTTGTATAATATACAGTAATTCTTTCACTCTTCAACAAAACTTTTTTAGCACAGCACCCAAGTGCCCATGGGGTGCAGCTCACTCAGCTCCCGAGAGCACACACACAGGATCAGTGGTGCAGACAGCCACGAGAGCCATGATGTCCTCAAAAACCAGTGATGCCCTGGATGTCGACCGAGTACATGTCTAAGGTCCTGCTCAAGCTGCACAACTGTTCTCTCTGGTTCTCCCCTTTGCGGCTCTCAGGGCCGCTTAAATAACTGGCAATTGTCATTATCGGACATTATTAATTTTGTTTCCTCTACTATATGCTTTTTTCCCTAAGATTCCCAACATTTACTGTGTCTGCTGGCACTTCTTTATTGCTCTGCTCTCAAACAAAAAAGTCTGTCTTTCTAAAGACAAAACTATCTAATCAAAGCACTCTTTTTTTTTTTCCCACAGAAAACCAAGTAATCCAGCCTAAGGGACAAAATCTTCTGGTCAAAACACGTACTTAAAAATGAAAACAAAATTGCTTTGGCTATTTGAGGTTTTTTGTATTTCCATACAAATTGTGAAATTTTTTGTTCTAGTTTTGTGAAGAATGCCATTGGTAGCTTGATAGGGCTTGCATTGAATCTACAGATTGCTTTGGGTAGTATACTCATTTTCACAATATTGATTCTTCCAATCCATGAACATGGTGTATTTCTCCATCTATTTGTGTCCTTTTTGGACTCTATGGGAGAAGGCGAGGGTGGGATGACCTGAGAGAATAGCACTGAAACATGTATATTATCAAGTGTGAAACATATCACCAGTCCAGGTTAGATACATGAGACAAGTGCTCAGGGCTGGTGCACTGGGATGACCCAGAGGGATGGGATGGGGAGGGAGGTGGGAAGGGGGGTTCAGGATGGGGAACACATGTGAATCCATGACTGATTCATGTCAATGTATGGCAAAAACCACTACAATACTGTAAAGTAATTAGCCTTCAACTAATAAAGATAAATGAAATAAATAAATAAATAAAAGATTGCTACAGAAGCACACCCCCCCCTCCAAAAAAAAGAAAGAAACAATTTCAATCTCTTCCAGGAGCCTAAGGATTCTAGATATTTGTTTCATGCATATGTAAACAATGAAACATATAATATAGAAAAGGAAATAGAAATCCTCCTAAATTGAATTTGAAGAGCCAAGCCTCAACGTTTACAGTTCCAAGGCTAGAATACAATAAAGAAACCAAAATCCCTTACTTTTTTCACCCACCTCAAGTAGATCTTAAGCTATAAACTAAGCATTTTTCTTAAAGGAAAAAATATTCTTACTTCAGTCACTATTCCTCAATGCATATACTGTCTACATCACAGACGTATGATTTTCAGGAGGACATGCTTAGCTCCAGTCCCCAGGAGAGGCCTAAGCATGAATGGAGAGCCTCCCACCTCTCTCACCGTAAGAAGGAGACTCCCGTCCATCCTCTCTGTCCGAGTCCTTGTCCTTTCTCCTCCGGTGGTGATGCTTGTGTCCGCGATGCCTGTGACGCCGGCGACTCTCTTTACTAAACGGAACGTGAACACCGATGTACACAGCTCGGTGGCCTGGTGAGACGTTCAGAAACGTTACTAGCAGTCCCCATTTTACACTTACCGTGCTTTTTACAAATCGAGGGTTTGTGGCAACCTTGCATTGAGCCAACCTATTGGCACCATCTTCCCAACAGCATTTGCTCACTTCCTCTCTGTATCATGCTTTGGTAGTAACTCTGGCAACGGTTCAAACTTCTCCATTAGTATTATATTTATTTTGGTGATCTACGATCGGTAATCTTTGATGTGGTACTTGTGATTGTTTGAGGGCACCACACACCATGCCCATATGAGATGCAACCTTACTTGATAAATGTGTGTGTTCTGACGGCTCCATGGGCTGGCCATTCCCCCACCTCTCCCCTTCTCCTCGGGCCTCCCTGTTCCCTGAGACATAGCAATGCTGAAAACAGGCCAATTAACAGCTTTCCAACAGCCTCTAAGTAGTCAAGTCAAAGGGAGAGTCACATGTCTCTTACTTTAAATCAGAAGTTAGAGATAATTAAGCTTAGTAAGGAAGGCATGTTGAAAACCAAGAGAGGCCTAAAGCCAGGCCTCTTGTGCCAAACAGCCATGAAGCGGGTACAAAAGAAGGTTCTTGAAGGAAATTAAAAGTGCTGCTCTAGTGAGCACACAAATGATAAGAAACTGAAATGGCGTTACTGCTGCTATGGAGAAAGTTCTAGTGGTCTGAATAGAATGCAGATCAAACAGACTTCTATTGGAAGAAGATGCCATCTGGGACTTTCACAGCCAGAGAGGAGTCAGTACTTGGTTTCAGAGTTGCAGAGGACTGGCTGACTCCCTAATGCAGCTGGTGACATGTGGCTGAAACCAGTGCTCTTTTACCATCCGAAAGCCTAGNGTCAATGCTTGTTTCAAAATTTCAAAGGACAGGCTGACTCTCTTGTTAGGGTCTGACGCAGCTTTTGACTTGAGTTGACAACAGAGCTCATTTACCTTTCCAAAAATGATAGGGCCCTTAAAAAGTTTACTAAATCTAGCCTGCCTCTGCTCCATAAGTGAAACAGCAAAGCCTGGATGACAGGACATCTGTTGGCAATATAGTTTACTGAATATTTTAAGCCTACTGCTGAGATCTACTGCTCAGAAAACAAACAAACAAAAAAACAACAACAAAATTTATTTTAAATTACTACTGTTCATTGACAGAGCACTTGGTCACCCGAAAGCTCTGATGAAGATACAATGAGATTCATGATGTTTCCATGCCCGCTTATACAACATCCATTCTATACAACATCCATTTGGCAGTCCATGAATGAAGGAATAATGTTAACTTTCAAGGTTCATTATTTAAAAAATATATTTTATGAGGCTATAGATGCCATAGATAGTGATTCATCTGATGGATCTGGGGAAAGTAAATTGAAGACACTTCTATAAAGGATTCACCATTCTAGGTGCCATTAAGAATATTCTTGACTCATAGGAAGAGACCAAAGTATCAATGTTAATGGGAGTTTGAAATAAGTTGATTCCAGCCCTAATGGATGACTTGGAGGGGTTCATAACTACAATGGAGAAAGTAACTGTAGATGTAGTAGAAACAGCAAGAGAACTAGAAATTGAGTCTGAAGATGTGACTGAATTGCTGCAATCTCGTGATAAAACTTGAATGGATGAGGAGTTACTTCTTATCGGTGAACAAAGAAAGAGGTTTCTTGAGATGGAATCTATTCCTGGTGAGGATGCTGTAAAGACTGTTGAAATGACAATAAAGGATTTATAATATTACATAGACTTAGTTGATAAAGCAGTGGCAGGGTTGGGAGAATTGACTCCAATTTTGAGAGGGTTCTGTGGGTAAAATGCTACCAAGCAGCATTGCCTGTTACAGAGAAATTATTCATAAAAGGAAGAGTCCATAAAGGACTTCCCTGGCAGTCCAGTGGTTAAGATTTCATGCTTCTGATGTAGAGGGAAGGCACAGGTTTGGTCTCTGGTTGGGGAACTAAGATCCTGTATGTCACATAATGCAGTCCAAAAAAAAAGCAAGAGGAGTTCATTGATGCAGTAAACTTTATTGTTGTCTTATTTTAAGAAATTGTCATCTTTAGTAACCACTTCCCTGATCCGTCAGCACCATCAGCATCAAGGTAAGACCCTCTACCAGCAAAAAGATTACTGATTCACCAAAGGCAAAGATGATGGAGAGCATTTTTTAGCGATAGAGTATTTTTAAATAAAGGCACGTGCATTGTTTTTTTTAGACATAAAGATATCACACATTTAATAGACTAGAATGTAGTGTAAACATAGCTTTTATATGTGCTGAGAGACCAAAAACTTGGTGTGACTTGCTTTTTTGCAATATTTGCTTTATTGTGATGGTCTGGAACCAAACCCACACTATCTTTGAGGTCTGCCTGTAAAAGCTACGGTTTCCCTCTCAGCTTCCCATCTTTCTCAGTTTCCACCATTGATCTTTCCACATACTCATAATGTCCACTAGTCTTTCTGTTTTTAGTCTGGGAGGTATCATTCTCTCCAACTGTCAAGCAGTGGCAAAAGTCAGAGTTGTATTTGAATGTCAACTCTACTTGGCTCTAGGCTCTTGCACAAGGTACTGAATGTTTCATTTCCCTTATTTGAAAACATATTAGTAAGAGTCCCTATCTCATAGACTTGTTGTGAGATGAAACATTTAACTCAGTGGTGTAATAAGAGCTCAGTAAATATCAAACAATATAATTCAGGTTATCATGGTTTAGTGTTTATTCTAAGGTGAATTCTGCACACATATGTATAGATTTTATTAGGTTGAACTGTGTGAAATTGCCATTTTGGCATGTCAAAACACCAGCTATTTGTATGGCTAAACCCAATAACAACTTCTAATTCTTGTCTACAGAACCTTTAGTTATTTTGCTTAATACATGTTATTACCCTAATTGAATATATAAGTGCACTTGAATTATCTTCTTTAATCCATGTTATTTTGTTGTTGTTCAGTGAAATGGCAGAATAATACTGATTTTGGGGTCATGAACTAGTCATGATAATGATAATGTTGTCTACTGAGATTTTTCCAAGTCATTCTGCTTCTCAAATGGGCTCATCTTTAAAAGAAAATTTGAAGTATAGTTGCTTTACAATGTTGTTTCTACTGTATAGCAAAGTGGACTGGAGGGTTTATATTAGGATATACACATAACTCCCTTCTCTTTTGGATTTCCTTCCTATTTAGGTCACCACAGAGCATTGAGTAGAGTTCCCTGTGCTAAACAGTAGGTTCTCATTAGTTATCTATTTTATACACAATATCAATAATGTATATATGTCAATCCGAATCTCTCAATTCATCCCATCTCCCCATCTGCCTTAACATACATACGTTTATTCTCTGTATCTATGTCTCTATTTCTGCTTTGTAAATAAGATTGTCTATACCCATTTTTTTTTTTCAGATTCCACATATATGTGTTAATATATGGGCTTTGGTTTTCTCTTTGTGACTTACTTCACTCTGTATGAACGTCACTAGGTCCATCCATGTCTCTACAAATGACCCATTTTCATTCCTTTATATATATATGCTACATTTTCTTAATCCATTCCTCTGTTGATGGATAGCATTGTTAATAATTGATACCATTTTCAGAATGAGCAAAACACAAATTTTACCAATACTCTGAGAAAGAACAAAAGTATATGTTGTTATGTTTCAGGAACTTGAAATATTTTTGTTGATCTTAAATCTTTCATGAAAATGAAACAGCTACTCGTGAATGGATTGAAAACTTTCTTGTTCTACTTGCGCTGTTCTATTTCTTGCTCTATATAGTACTTATGCATTTGTGCACAGACTGACCTCCTTAATTTAGCCTTTAGCCCTTTAAACAGCTTCTGAAATGAATGTGTGATCATGCTAACCTTCTGTAGCAATCTTTTACACATGGTTTAAATGTTGTCATTACTGAAGTCCTGACTTTCTACCAGGGATGTTATAAACCAAGCCCCGAGGCAGCTATTGGGAATGTCAGGCTGAAATGATTTCTCTAGAGGCTCCAACAGCATCAGGAATTCAGTTAGGTGTGTGCTCAAAACTGACTGGGGCAAGAAGAGGCTCAGAGTTGATGCCTTTTATCCCCGAAGTGAAGGATTTCTTCTGCTTTACATTTTTAGGGTCTTGTGAGTTTCTCTTCTGGCCTTTGGTTTTAGTATAAATTCAACCATTTTGGTGCTTTGGGACCTACCTGGCCTGTCAGCTGAGTTTCAAAGAACATACCAGGAATCAGAGATCTGAATTCCGAAGATGAGGAGGCCCCTCGTTGCTTGGTACCCACTCCAGCTCCTTCCTTTCCTGCACTTCATGTTCAGCTCGCTCAGCCAGCCAGCAGGGGCCCCTAGGAGGCAACATAGGATCCTTGTCATCTTTTTGTTTGTTTGTTTTTTATTGAATCTTCTCACCCAGTTAAAATATCAAAGTCTTCCTGGGATTAGAGAATGAGGAGATATGATTTCATGGTGTATAAATTGAAAAGGTAGCCTGGGTGAGTTCTGAGTTTGCGATAAAAAGAGCTTCAGTAAAAATGAAAGGAAACCCATTTAATTATGTCTGTTATTGGACTCTTTCTTCCTCCTCCCCCACTACTTTGATAATGTATTTTTGTGGAATGTGAATCAAATGGCAGCATTTAAGAATCCAAGGTCACTTTTAAAATCTTGTCCGCCGAAGACTTGCCTAGACAGGCTTTTGATTTAGATGTTTGTAGATGTGACTTGACATCATAGCTAGGTGTGCTGTCAGAAAGTTCGGTTTACTTAATAGAAAGGGTAGAGTAAAGCTTGAGCCTCTCTTTTGTCTTTGAACTGAGGAGTATGAGTAATCAGGAACAGTGCTTCCTGGTGGCAGGTGAAGTGTGCATTCTGAGGACGCAATTCTAAGAACTGTCAGAATTGACTCATGCCCACTTTAATGGTATGGGTTACAATGACGCTGACTAAAAATATCAGTGATTTGGTGGTGGTTGGGAGAAAGTGTGTCTTCCTCCTACATTCAGAACAGATCAGAGCTGCCACCATGCAGACGCCCAACTGCCCTGAAGGTCTTTTCAGGGAGAGACTGATTGACATGAGGTTCAGATGTGAAAGCGCTCTGGCTGGTCCTGCTTGTCACTTCCCTTAATTCAGGACTGATCTGAAGGCTCAGACATGTCTTTCCTTTTTGCGCCTTCAAGTGGGCCCTTCTTGAAGGTGTGTGGTCAGTAGGAAGGAAAGATTGGTTTTCAGTCCCAAAACACTTTTTTGTGATATTCAAGAAAGAAATGTTTGCTTTGATTTGTGTTCTAAAGAGAGTGCTATCGTTGGGCCTTTAAAAAATGTGTTAGGGATATGTGTGTGTGTGTGTGTATGTGTGTGTGTGTGTGTGTGTTTGAGTGAGAGAGAAAGAATGTGACAGGGAGAGAAATGGAGGGGATGTAGAGAATGAAAGGGGGGATTTGGAAGATTAAAAAATCATATCTCTTATTCAGAATAGTTATAAATATTTATAATTTACCTGCATTAGAAGTCATCTCATAAATGACAAGTCATTAGTTAGTAACTAGTTATCATATACAGGTAACTTATGCAAGTTCAGAATCTAAGACTTTAGAATCCTGGTACAGCAGATCAGAGTCAATAACCAAAATTTATTAATTTTGTGGTTTCACAAAATGGTCCTCTCTAGGGTCCTTCTACACCATGAGAAAATCCAGTTCTTCAATTGACCCTCAGTTTCCCAGTACCCCACTTCAGAGTTGCTAAAGATTTCAGAAATGATGTGTCTATTTACTCTCTCTTTGAGGTGCAGGGAATAATCTATATTATTTTTTTCCTGCAGGTTTATTATGCTTTGCTCAAGTCAGTGGGGAGGCTGTCATATTTGCCTTGTGAAAGGACTTAACATATGATGGTGATACTACTAATTTGGATTGGTTACCAGATTCGAGATTTTGGCCATTGATAAAGTTTCATTTCTAAAAATACAATATTATAAAAGAATCTTTCCACAAAGAGGCCTCATCCTTTTTTTTTTTCATGCTTAATAAACATTGTTGCATTTTAGTGAGTGTTTGACTTCTTTTCTGAATTGTCTATCCTTGTCTTTGGGTATTATTGTGTTAGAGTATTAATTTTCTAGTCAATTCATCTGAGCTTTTTATATATTCATATTCTTAGTCATTTCACTCTATTTTGGTGGCCAGTATTTTTCTAGAGTTCCTTTGCCTTCTGTTCTCTTTATATTCTATTTAACTTACTAAGTTTAATTTAAAAATTTAGTAAATAAGCTTGTATTTTCCAACAATGGTGTAACTGCTAACTGTAGAGTTTTCAAATATGCTAATTTTTAGAAAATGCTATAGTTTGGGGTCATATTTTTGATTTGAAAATTAAAAGAAAGGATAGTGAATGTGGCTGAAAAGATATAGTCATGTTCTTGAATTCTCAGCTAAGGAGGTCAATCTGGTGTAGATGTGCTTCACATCAAATTGGATGCAGTTGTAATCATGATATGGGAAGGTATTGAATAGTTAATCTCTTTAAAGCATTGGTGTAAATTCCATCTTATTAGTTCATTCTTTTTAAAAAATAAAATCTCATGAATGTCCCTTTGTTACAGACGTTTTTATGGATATCACATCTAAATCCATGATCACATCTGAAATGTGATTAATATGTGGATATTAATCCAATATGTGGGTTTAGTACTAATATGTCAAATTGGTACCATGAATTCTAAGGTGAATTCTTACCCTGCAGGTCTCATCTTTATGATGAAAAGTGTGGTCCTAGCTTGAGTAATGGTTTGGTTCCTAATCACAAACCACCTTCTTCCACGGCACCAAATAATGTTCAAGTCTGGCAGACCAGTTATTAGCTAGAAATTGTGAACAAGTTACTTGACTGCTTATATTCCTCATTTTTCTCATTTCTAAAGGGGGATAATTGGGCTTCTCAGGTGACTCGGTGGTAAAGAATCCGCCTCTCAGTGCAGGAGACACAGGTGACATGGGTTTGACCCCTGGCTTGGGAAATCCTCTGGAGGAGGAAATGGCAACCCACTCCACTGTTCTTGCTTGGATAATCCCATGGACAGGGGAGCCATAGCCCATGGAGGAGGGCTACAGTCCATGGGGGTCACAAAGAGTCAGACACGACTAAGCAACTGAGCATGAGCATGAAAGGGGAATAATAACAGATCCGTACCTTATAGCATTATTATGAAAATAAAATGAAAACATCCTTCTCAAAAAAGTTCTTGGTACATTTTAGTGAAAATCGCTGTCATGTCTGACTCTTTGTGACCCCATGGATTGTATAGTCCATGGAATTCTCCAGGCCGGACTACTAGAGTGGATACCCTTTCCCTTCTCCAGGGGATCTTCCCAACCCAGGGCTCAAACCCAGGTCTCCCACATTGCAGGCAGGCTCTTTACCAGCTGAGCCACAAAGGAAGCCCATGGTACATTTTCTGTGTTTGCTAAATGTTAAATATCATCACTATTGATGTGTAGATGCTACATCCTCCTTTGTTTTCCTCAATTGATGGCATTCAAAGCCAGTTTTAAGAGAGTGATGGTAATTCCCAGAAAATTATGAGAACTTAACATTTTTAATAGAGTAGTAAGGCAAGGCAAGATGTTGGTGATGGATCCAGAAAATGGTGCTTTAAAAGTGAAAGTGAAGTTGCTCAGTCATGTTGGACTCTTTAAGACCCCATGCCATGGACTGTAGTCCACCAGGCTTCTTGGTCCGTGGGATTTTCCAGTCATGAATACTGGAATGGGTTGCCTTTTCCTTTGCCAGGGAATCTTTCTGACCCAGGGATTGAACCGGGGTCTCCCACATTGTAGGCAGACACTTTACCATCTGAGCTACCAGGTTGCTTTAAAAGGCAGTTTCAAAATGATCAAAGTTTCTTCCTGTGGATGTTTCCCTGGCCCACATGTCATACACCTCCATATCCATTTGTGATATTCTAAAAGTTGGATCAAAATAGATGAACAAGATTTGAGAATGTTAATCTCATTTTGGTCTTTATGATAAATGTTTATCAGTCTGTGTATCTATCTATGTACCTGTCAATATATTATGTATGTTATCAGTATATATATATATATATATATATGTATATATATAACTATGTAATATATGTATGTATGTTTAGAGATGTTTGTGTGTATATGATGTTTGTATAATGTATATAGTAATGTAAGTTAGAGCTCTAAAGAGCCTTCATGATTCCATATTCTTGCTGAGCCTCTTGATAAGAGTTATTCTCCTAATTCATCCAGAAGGAGGACCTGGGGAGGAGCCTCAATGTGATAAGTACTGTTTACTCCAAGCTACAGTGATGGGTTCCTTTCTTCATGATAGCATGTAATGCATATCATCCACTGCTCAGTCTGTAATTCCAATTCAAAAATGACTCTGTCTCAGGCCAGAAAGAAAGTAGGACACATATGTGTTCTTTTTAAAAAATTCTTTTCCATTATGGTTTATCCCAGGACATTGAATATAGTTTCCTGTGCTACACAGTAGGAACTTGCTGTCCATCCGTTCTATGTGTAATAGTTGGCATCTACTAACTACAAACACCCAGTCCATCCTTCTTTGGTGAATATCCCAATATATTCATTCTTGTCACAAAAGAGAAAATGGCTTCCTGATGTAGTTGATTGTAGTTTGTCTTTTGCATTTATAAGCATTTGTTGATACTTTATGACTTCAAATGGTGCAGTAAGGGAAAAATAAAGGGACTAATGTGTATTGGGTGGCCATGATGTGCTACATGATATTAACATTTGATTCTCCCATGAATCTGTTAGGCTGGTTTAATTACCCTTGGTTTATTGATGACAAGATGAAGCTGTTGGTAATTAGGAGAGCTCTGATCTGATCCCCCAAATCATGCTCTTTCCAGGGCTATGCTGTCTGCTGATACATTAGATTCTGAATAGGGAGGTCAAGAAAATCGTTCCATTTCCGGGGTATGACGTTTCAAGTAGTGGCCCTGTCTGGCCACACTCAGAGAAGTTGGTGGGTAGCTGCTTACAGTGTGGTGCGGGTTCCTCCTCCCCATAACTCCTCCCTCTCTTCCCTCCAGCTGCTCTCAGGTTTGGGAAATATAGCCTTGCTCACCTTGGCTCTCTGGCTTCTAACCTACCTCTTCCCTCCCACCAAAGTTTTAATATTCACTAGACTCCTAACTGGTAAAGCCATACTGGTGAATGCTATTTAAGTGAAGTGAAAGTCGCTCAGTCATGTCCGACTCTTTTGTGACCCTTTGGACTATATAGTCCACGGAATTCTCAAGGCAAGAATACTGGAGTGGGTAGCCTTTCCCTTCTCCAGGGGATCTTCCCAACCCAGGGATCGAACCCAGGTCTCCCACATTGCAGGCAGATTCTTTACCAGCTGAGCCACCAGGGAAGCCTATTTACTTCACTTATTTATTTCAACTCTGTGTTTTTAATATCTAGCTATAATCTGAGGCATGTATCACCTCCTGAGAAGAGTCAGCAATTAAGATGTCAGCCTTGTCAGGATTCCTGAGCACTGTGCTGATAGGTACTTGGAAATGGTATAGATAGAACATATGCTGAAACCTTCTGCCATGTAAATATGTTGCTCTTTATCAGAAAGTTTCCAGGATTCAATAGGGAGCCTTTTGCATTGATTTAGGCATTCTGGTTTGTATTCAGCCCTTCTTATTAATATATTTTTTTAAATAGAAAGGGAGGATTTGTGTGGTATAGATGTGGTAGGTAAGCTTGAGTCTGATTGATGCAGACTCAAATTTTAGTCCCATCTCTCAGTGCCTGAGTGCTCCCAGATAAGTCGCTTGTTTTTCCTTTTGGTGCTCTGATTACCCATCTGTAAATCGAATGTGATACCTACCTTCTGGACCTGTGTATAACACCTAGTACGGGCCCTAATACAGAGCTTTCCTGAGAAAATATTAGTTCTTTGTTTCTTGACCTGGAAGGTAATGCTTTTAAAATTCTTACTTTCAGTGAATGGATATATTTATATGGAGGAAGGCTGATTCAGTAAGTCTTCCCTCTCCTAAAGACTATTTCCTTTACAGTTCTGTATCTGTTCCATTTCAAATAGAGGTTTTAAGCTCTCTCATTTCCCCAACACTTCTGCATGAAATAAGAAGTGAACTCAACATACAACAGCTTGTTGGGTGTATTCCATACATCTGTTCTGTGCAAGTGTTCTTCCTGCCGGATCCAAAGTGCAGGGAGTCGAGAGTCACATTCGCTAGTAGACTTAGCTATTGACGATTCCAGCACGTTTATCATGACGTAGGTGATGCTTTTGAGACTGTGCAGGAAGCTGAAACGAGTACTGTGACAGGGCACGGCTCACAGCTGTAGGAGAAAATGCTTCTCGCTGTGTATTGACTGTTTTCCACCTCAGATTCCTCTTCTCTCTTCTGTGAATTCTGTGCTCCCTGCTAAAGACCAGCCTTTTTCACCTGCTTGCTGTATTAGTAAACTCAACAGTTTCTGCAAACGATGTTAATATGCCCAAACAGTGGTTAACAGTTCATGAGTATACACCTAGGAAGGTTTCACCTTAAAATAATTAGCTCTTAAATACTCTCCAGTATCCAAAATTAAAATTGACAACTCTCTTTTCACTTTTAATTCAGTATCTCCAAGGCATAATTTTTCATGAAAAAGTAAATATTTTTAGTCACCCAACAAGGGAAGACTTTTCTTTTTACAGAAATATATGTTTAAGAAAGGATGATGTGTACTTTTTCTAAGTCATCTCTTGAGAGCAATTAATTTGACTGATCAGAAGCCTCTAAATTATTTTTAGTTTTGTACTGTTATCAGTGTTTCAAAGAAAAAAGGTTCCTCAGTGCAACTTACATTTGTGTTTGCTTTTGTGCTTATTCAACCATCAAAAATTTAAGTGATGCATCATTTTTTAAAATCAGGAAATAATAGGAAATTGAAGAATGAGAAGAATGATTATCTCTTTTTAGCTTAAAGCTGCATTGTGAATCTTG